CAAGCATAGCAAAACGTTATTTCAATCCAATTACATTTTACCACTTGAATTAGATAAAGCTGAACAAACCAGTTGCATGGCTCAGAAGATATGTGGCCTTTATAACCATCAGGTTCTACCATCACCAAGACAAGACCTTAAGTGTAAGCTGTCTGACATTTGATGAGTCAGATGTGGCATACTAGTCTGAGTGCTGAAGGAGTATGGGGAGGCCAAGAATGATTTGTCTTGTGGAAGCTGCCGGTTGTATGCTAGCTTTGCAGGCGTACAGGCGTACTGTTGTAAGTCCTGTGCTGCCTAATGACATAAAGGCATTAGCTAGGAGAGTCATAACCGAATGTATCCAGAGATTCCTTCACATAGCTGGAGGGATTTTAGTGGCATTTCATTGACTCATGTCTACAACCTTGGACTACATTCACTTCCTACCAAGAAATCGTATTGCATGCAACTCTAGACAATTATGCTAAATAGGAGTCCACCCCTGTTTCTACAAAGGTCTTCATAATGAAAAGAAGTTATAATAATTTTGACAAAAAAGCCAGTTCGTATTCCAACACTGTATTTTCCTTACTAAACTTTAAAAATACACATATTACCCAAACTTTCAGTCCTCCTACACTAAATCCATTTATACAATCTTTTATTCATTCCACGCCGTACTGTGGCTTGATCACTTTACAATGATGAAATATACTAGTTTAGAAACCGATCTAATAAACGAGAGTAAATCTAAGTGGTCATGCCTTAACTGTTACACTACAAATGACTAAAGTTCACTAGTCATGAATACTGCCTGTCCTGCTTCTTGCCCACTCCTTTTCCCCTTTTTTTCGGAATCTTCATAGTACACCACCGAAAACACCTGTAGAGCATATGACTTTGCCTTGCACCATCGTTTATACTTCCGGAATTTATCTTGAATCGCCATCGAATAAACTTTGGTGTTCAAACTGAAGTTTGGTTCTATTGTTCATTTGGTTTCGTAAGTTGCTCTAGATCGACATAAAATGCTTCAATAACGGAAGAGGGCAAAAACTTGGACGTGACATAAAGGAATTAAGGTATGACACTTTTGACAGGGAACTTCTAGTCATCTGTTGTTCTGTGCAGCGTTTTCAACACTCTGTGGAAGGCCGAATAATTCACTCCGTCTACCGATCATAAACCTCTCAACATTTCTCTAAGCTCGTCTTCAAACAAGTACTCAGCCCGAGAGTTTTGATAAGTGGACTTAAGTTCGCAATTTACTTCAGATATACAACAGATTTCAGTGGTTTTGTCTCAAGTAGCTTTTTTGAACAGTTTCTCAAAAATCAATATTCTTAAACTCGCCCTGTTTCAAAAAGAAGGTACCGAGTTTTAGTACGAGTTATGTTTCACAGTTCTAAAACTGCGCATCAGGCAGATGGGGACGGGTTAGGAAACTTCACCATGTGACACATGCACAAGTAGGGATCGCTCAATCGTGCTGAAACATTATCGACGCAACGTCTTCAATAAGTTGCACAGGCCTGACTCAGGTGTTCGAGCGATCATAAGGCTCGTCGTAGAATGATTTTCTGATCCAGAATGAATAAAGATTTGAGGGCACGTTTCTTTGTAGGCTGCCAGAAATCTAAGGTGATTGGACGCATATAATGCCCTTTACACTCGTCCAAACCTCCTGACGCTTGTTTTGATCATGTTCATCTGGATTTAGTAGGACCCTTTCCAGATTCAAATAGATACTCTTACCTCTTAACGTGTGTAGACCGTTTCATACGATGACCAGTAGCAGTACTCATGAAGGACACTACTGATAAACTAATGGCTCGCATCTCCGTCGAACAATGTGTAGTAAACTTCGGCTACACTTCAACTACCACCATAGACTATTGAGGACCTCTTAGATCTAAAAGTTCCTATTATCTTACTAAACTGCGAGCAATCACACGGTTCCGATCAACCATCTATCACACACAAACAAGTGGCTGGTAGAACGATTTCATCGACAGTTGAAAGCTTCCATCTCAGCTTCAAGGGTTTCACAGTGGATTGATGCTCTCAGTATTCACAATGCAATGAAGGCCGTTACCTGACTCACTGCAATACAGCGTGTATAGTAAAAGACACCTCGCCTTCCTGGAGAATTCGTGGATCTTCCGTCTTCTTTGATGAATGTGAATCTACATGAACAAGCTTACAAGCGTTGTGTGTTCAGTTAAGCCTGATTCAACTCGATCTTATTTAACTGATATTTTCGTTTAACTTGAATCAAGGTACAGTACACATGTCTTTGCATACGACTGACTCTTCAAAGTCCTTCATCGTACATCTAAGTACTATATCATCAATAAGAACGAAAACCACGATAAAATCAGCATTGATATTGGCATTATTGTGCCATAAAACCAGAAACAAGGATTGTTTTCATAACTTTTTCATTTTATATGTATGTTATTTATTTTTTCAAGAAGATAACCTCGGATAATTAATTACGCGAAAACTTCTCTTACACTATAACATGTGAAAAAAAGCGCATGTATGCGAAAGTTTTTCATTCTTTGCCCATTTTGTACTTACGCATGTACGAGTGTATTTCGGAATGCGACTACGATTTCTTTTTTTCATTTTCAGTACGAGTGGAAAAGATGAGAAAACCGACGAAATTACGAGGAAGAGAGATTTTCATTGCTCATTTTTTGATTGCTATATCGTATCGCATAGGCTCTTCTATTAGGAAAAATCGACCAGATTCTGTTGAACGTAGCAGACTATCAGAAGAGTGTTTACTAACGACAAACCCTTTGGGTTTACATTTCTGGCTGGCCGGGTCTTAGAGCCATCACTACGGTAAATAAACCCCAGTAATAAATAGTTCCATAAATTTTCGACATTTATGCTGACTTCATTAGTTTTACTGAACGCACCTACATGAAGGCGCTCAGTCACTCATCAGCACCAGATCACGAGTGGGTACGATGTGCCACGCAACCCTCTAAAATGCTGGCCAGCTTAGACCAAATACTTTTCGACTTACCGATAGCACTTCAAATATAACTTCCTGGCATGTGAGTTGACTGAGTTGGTAAGTCTCGATTATAAAAGGTGTTACTGGTCAAGGCGTTGTTAAGATCTAAATACCCGTGTCATCTTTGAATTTTTTTACTCCACACATACTTACACGTCTAGCTATCCTATACATAGGTTACATTATATTATCTCTATGCTATTTGGGTTTGACTGTCTAATATAATATGATATATATCTGAAAGAGCACATACAAACCATTTTTAAATGCTCGGTCAATAACTCATAATGTCAGTTTGTATATACGGTGCTGCTTAAGAAAGGTTGTTAAATATACAAAACCAACGTATATTAAAAGGCGGTACGTTTGTGAAGATGTCCTGGAGATGTACGATGAGTGCAGTTCTATGATCTGTCTCAAAGACGGCACAAGCTTACGTTGTGAACTTGGAACAATCACTGCAACTTCAAACCCGACATCGTTTCGTTAGAATTCTGGTTCTGTTAAGTATTTATGAAGTATAACTATTTAAGTAGTTTATAGTAGTTACAAGAAACACATAAATTGTTCGTGACTTTGAGAAATGCGTACGTTAAATTTGTTTCAAAATTTTTTCAAACGTTAGAAACTCCATAACTGTGCATTGAGAACGCTATCCTGAAAAAACAGGGAAAGATGTGGCAGCATGGCATTTGGATACAAACTTTATGCAATGCTACAAGGTTTGTAGCGAAAAAGACAAGATAAAGTAAATCAGTGGATGAAACTCATGCTAGCTACTGTTGTTAGAAAAAAATGGGTTCAAATAATGGAACGAAAGTCGAAGTTAGAATCAGCAAGGCTGTTTTTTAGAATCGAACGTGCATCAAAAGAGAGTAAAGTGGTGTTAAATTGCCCAATATTTTCCACTACACATACAACCGTCTCTATGACTATACATTTAAGTTTACGAGTTCGGCCACCACATCGATTGTCGAAGAAGTTTAACATGGCTGAGACCATATGCAATGACAAGGTCACGGCACTAAAACATTATCGCGCTGCACGAATGCCAAAACTTGACTAAAACATTGTTCATATCAGAAAAGTTTTGTGGAGACTAGCAATTTCGATAGTTGAGATCATGAGTCAATTGAAGCTAGACCACGATGGAAAACCTGAAAGCACTGGATGGCCGTTTCGTCCTATTTTGGGACTCCTCAGCAGTGCGCATCCACGATCCCGCCTCACGAGATTCGAACTCAAGACCTATCAGTCTCGCGCGCGAGCACTTAACCACTAGACCACTGAGCCGGCATCCAACGGTGTTAATGTCTAACTTCAACTAATCCACGAAATTGATTGACATACGCACTATTGTCTTCAGTGAGCTTATATCTCACGCCAAACCCGGTTGAACTCCCCTGGTCACTGCTTCTCACTAGAACTGCAGTTAATACCTCTTGAAGTCAGTCACTAGCGAGCAAATGTTGATCCATATTAGAAGGGTTTTGTAGCTAGTATAGTAGTTTCAGTGGTCCAGTGCAGCAGGTTTGTCATGGTGGTCTAGCTTCAATTAATTCATTATCTCAACCATTGAAATATAGCATTGTTGTTTGATAAACAAGTGCTCAAAATAGTAACTCAGCAGTGCACCTTTAAACTTGACGCTAAGTTAAAAGATATTTTCATATCATTTTTTTATATAACGAAGGAATTTGGATCTGTTAATGTGACACAAACCATATTCATTTTCCTACACTTCCGGATCATTCAATCAGGACATAATTTGGACCATCAAAAAGTATTAGGAATATAAAACAACATAACATAGTTCCTACTACTAGTACTACTACTACTAATAATAATGATAATAATAATATATTTCTGCATGTGCAGGTACACGCCATTTTTACAAGCATGATCTATAAATTGCAACATTTGTTGGCGCACAACATGCCTCCCAACTTATTAAGTTTAAAGTTGTTATAAAGTAGACTCATAGAGCGCTTGCTGTAAACCATGACCTTGGAGAGACTCGTACGTCAAGTGTGTTCCAGATGTCAGAAGTTTCATAGCTGTGCCCTCAGAGTAAGATTCTGGGGAATAAAAAAAGAGAACCAGAAGAGCAGCAAGGCACTTGGATATGAACGCCAAACGTTGCTTAACATTGTGTAGTAGAACAGACAGAGGTATAATGGATTAGATTAAATTCATATTCTCTTGTTAAAGTGAAATGAAGTCAAAGGCCCCATATTAGAGAATGTAGTAATAAAGAACAATGAGTTGTGATGTTTAACAAGTTGGAGTAAGCTCACATGAAGGAGGGGAAGTCAAGGTTGGCACAAGGAAAGCGGCTTATTAGAAGGGAGTGTGCATATAGAGGGTGAAGTGTTAAGAATACTAATGACCATAGATTTTATTGTCTGATTTTTTTCTTTCTTTTCTCTTTTCGTCCATGCGATGCCAGCCACACAATCTTAGTGTAAAAGTCCTAGTTAGAATGTCATAGGTTGTCTTAGTAGAATAGCTAATCCAGCATAATATTGGAAACATGAGTCTGAGTGGTGAGCGTAGGAAGACAATCTATATCACAGATTGATTGACTTATTCTCAATCATAAAGAGCCTGATACATAAAACAATTTTCTGCCCCGACAAACACGAGTGGATTGAAGTCATCGCCCTCACCATCAATGCTTGCTAGTCAGTTACTCCACCCTCCCTCCTTTTGTGATGTTAGGCTCATTTTGTATGTATGTCATACCTCACACAATCCTCTGTGTTTCACAACCCGTTGGAAAACACTATTTCTATCAGTACCGTTTTACAAGCTTATCAGGCAGTTACAAGTTATGGAGTGTGGGTAGGACATCGATGCAGTGCTTCTATTGACTATAGTATAAAGTATAGTTTGCCAATCAGAGCATAAGCACTCAGAAGGGTATAATGTAGGATGGTTGTTTATTAAGGCAGGCGGAAAAGTATGTGAGTTGTAGATAAGGTAACGAGTGGAGAAATAATATTAATTGCTAGTCAACATATTGTACAGATGAGTAAAAAGCTAATACAGGATAAACAGGAAGAAACTCACATTAACTTGGTGCTGATGTTATTCTGTGTTGCCGTAAGTAGTTGATTGGTAACAGACTCCATAGATGCAAGACCACTGGCAGTAGGCAGTCGATCGTGCGATCCTCTTGACTTTTTAGGGTGGTAGTGAGTGTCCTTTTAGCGACCGAGCTTAGTTGAACTGTATCGATAGGTCCAGTGAGCTACCCGTCTACTTCAAGTGAAGGAATAGGGTGGAAAAAGTAACTAATATAACTGCAAAGTAGGAAATATAAGGCAAACTGAACTTGAAGTCCATTTTGATCTAGACATGTAGAGAGCCTATGATGTCTGAGTGGGACGCAGATGTGTTCGTGCGTGCTAAATCAGTGCAAGTGAGGGCTTGATCAAGCAGTTTTACAAACGTATGTAATTCATCTGGCATGCTTATTTCGGAGGGAAGACTGTTCCATATTATTGCATACTTGGTGAGGAAGAAGTCTTCCCGTGTTTTTGATCTGTATTTCTCGATTTTGACGGTAGATGCTTTGTTTCGAAGTTCGTATTCATGTGAATCTCGGGCAAGAATTATCTTGCATATTGAATAAGTAAGGTTCTTGAGTGGTTTGAAGTAAAGAATCAAATTAAACCTAAGCCCTCTCTCCCAAATGGGTGCTATTCCTAAGACTTGGCATCGGGAACTGTATTCAATGACTGAGTCAGTTTTAAATATTTTGCGGGTGAAGTCTCGTTGTATTCCTTTCACCTTTAGTATATCAGATAGGCGTAGGTTGGAAAATAAGAACGAGCAGATCTTGCACAAACTTTATGAAGAAGGATTTTATATTCATTTTGATAGAAATTACGGAGAATGAATTCAAGCAATTTCCGCATTTAAGATGCTTTGGCTGAGATGTGTTCAGAGAAAATAAGACTGTGTGATCAGTGTACCCCTAGGTCAGTTACTGATGCCAGTCTGGGCAGTGTGTGATTTCTGAGTGTTAGTTGTGTTTTAAGAAACGTGTTTCCTATACGTGACCAGCCGCACTTCTCTATGTTGGGCCCTAACCTTTAGCGTTTGCACCAGTCGTCTACCATGTTGAGTTCATTTTGGATTGTTTGCATAGTACTACGTACATCGCAAATGTTAGTTTTATAGATGACTTTTAAGTCATCGGCATAGAGGTAGGTCTTACCTATGCTAAAGCACTTGCATATATTGTTGGTGTAGATTATAAAGAGCAATGGACCGAAGATACTACCCTGAACAACACCACTGGTTATTGGTCGAGGTGTAGATGTTGTAGAGTTAGTCTTTGTTATTTGATATCTGTTCGTAAGAAAAGACTTAATCCATTGCAAAAAAGGATTTATAATTTCAACTGACTGAAGTCTGTTCATTAGAAGATTATGAGGTACCATATCAAAGGCTTTCTTAACAAAGAAAACGGAACTTTAGTTGGAATTCCTCCTCTCTGTTGTTGTTTTTCTGTTCTTTTAGTTAGCCTACGAATACAGATGCAATTGGAGATCAACATATACAGACAGTTTGCCTGTTAACAAAACAGCCTCCAAACTCTTGCGACGCGAAGATGGAAGACACTTATAGAGTTACATATATTTCATTGCGCATTGACCTTACTTTGACTGCTATCTAATTGGTTGTGACTACGGAGGACGTCCTCTTCAACTAATTTCAATATACTTGACAACTATTTGCGCACCTATCGTCTATTAGCATTTACCCAACATGCTCACTGACCATATGCGATGACAAGACATGGCTTCGCACTTACCATCTATGTCGTTAAAATCCAGCACTAAAAATTTTACTTGTAACTCCCGCCTTAAATACCAGTTCAGTGATATTTCCAGCTAGTTGTTTCCAAATATGGGCTGACTTGTTTTCTTTAGTTTTTCATCCAGCAAATAAATACGTATATTTTTTTGCTGAATTCTCTACGTTTCCTATACTCCATTACACCATAATCCCAAAATCTTCCGGAACTACCAGTGAACGGCAGACCAATCCTAAAAACCCAACTATACTTTAACGTAAGTCAAACAACTGAAATTCAAATAATTTTCAAACCAACTTGAACTGTTGTCGTCAGCTGCTTACAACCAAATATGTAATAGAATTTTACATTGAAATAAGAAATAGTGTTAAACAATGTAAAATCCTGTTACATATTTGGTTGTAAGCAGCTGACGAGAAACCTCGAAATATTGTGAATTCATACTATTCTGCATCAATATTTGTTCTTGCTTTATTTAAAATTTTGAACTATTGTGACCAAAAAGCTTTGCTGGGTTTATTGGACAGTGCGAAATGCACGAAACTTTATTTTATTACTAAAATGTGAGTGGAAATAAATCGATTAGATGACACTAGCTCATCACTAAAATGTCAAATGTATTGAAAACCGAGTCACGAGAACAAAAAACAAAACTTACAGACCATTATTTTATACTGTATACATGTCTATGACTGTACACAGCATGTCATATAGAACAGTATTACGCGATGATCTCAGCTAATCGGTGGCATTGATGGACAAGAGGCCACTAGAAGTAGATCCTAACAAGACTGTGGTGATGTAGTTAAATAACTATGATGATTCGTATCACTACACAATATGTGGATTCGTGCTACCCAATGTAAGAAACTATAAAGATTTAGGAGTCATACTAAGCAATGATCTCAAAACTACGAGTCATTGTGGAGATGCTGCCTCAAAAGGCCATAGGGTATTATAGTCTATTCGTAGGTCTTCCCAGTATTTGGATGATGAAATGACTTTGGAATATGGGATTCACGCAGCGAGTCCGTGTTTCAAGTAGGAAGCGGATATGCTGGACCGATTTCAACGACGAGAAGCTAAGATGGTAAAAGGCTTATCTGGCCTATCTTATGAAGTTGGACTGAGACGTCTTAAAATATTTCCGTTATCATACCGTAGAACAGGGGGTGATCTAATATTGGCTTATCGTATACTGAACGATGAACTTAGTATTAATACACTTTGTCGTTTCATTCCACCTAGGACTGATCATTTGAGAGGAAATTCTAAGAAATTTTAAAAACTGAGGTCAAATCATCTACGTCTGAAGTTTTGTTTCTTGCACCGAGTAGTGAATTACTGAAATTCTCTACCAGAACACCTAATATCATCACCTGTTGATATATTCAAAAGGGGGTTGGACCTTCACAGTGCTACAAACTGCAAAGATTAATATAGGTCGATAGACCTTCTATCCTTATTACTGAAGACTGAAGACATATTATTGTTGTTCAATGAACACCTTCTTTTTTCTTTTTTACTGACAACAGAGCAGACCTTGTGCCAATGCGCTCAATTAGGTTTTAGAGACTTTGCGGTTGTAAGGTAGTTTTGAATGTTCTTAGTGAATTTTGACTAATCATGACTCGTTTATGTTCCCTGACTTGTAGATTACTCAAATTTGACTAGTATAAGACTTGATTATCAACTTACTACAATTTTTGATATCCTGAAAAATGCAGAAGAGCCTTTTGACATTCTTTACGCGTTCCCCTAAACCTTTATCTGAAAATTCAAACAAAATGTGTCCAGAATCCTCAAAAGGCACAAACTCTCCAGTTGTATGCCTGAGACCACCCACTGGACACGATGATGAAGTAAAGTTCATCACCTCTAACTTAATACATTTAATGTTAGATTATGTCCAGCCCCACTACTTCGTCCTTTAGCAAAAGACGACGGGTTATCATCGAGTCCAGTGATGATGAAGATGAGGCCCCTGCTCTATCAAAAGATAAGGCAGAAGCGGTAAATAAACATGATGTAAGTGATGTTACTGACCTGTTATTTTAGTAACAGTTGTCAAAGTATTCATTCTCCCCGCAGCCGGTCAGACAAAATGGCGAAAAGATAAACGAGGCGGCAGACGAATCTCCTCTAGAAATGAGTGTAGTCGCGCAGGTCAATGAGGCATTTGAAGATGAAACTGTTTCGTGGACTCACTTAAGCCTTCCATTTTTGGAACCCTCTAAAATCAAAGATATCAACGGTCGAAGGCCCGATCATCCAGAATATGACTCACACACATTATATGTCCCAGAGGAGTTTAAGGTTTGTACACGAGTTTTTTTGTTCAGTACTTTAGACTAAACAAACTCCTGGCATGCGGCAGTGGTGGGAATTAAAGTCGCGATACACCGACGTAATTCTGTTTTTTAAGGTTGGAAAGTTTTATGAAATGTACCACATGGATGCTATGATTGGCGTAAAGGAGCTTGGTTTGGTGTTTATGAAGGGGAACTTTGCACACTGTGGATTTCCTGAAGTGGCTTTTCCTCGTATGGCTGATCAGCTTGTCCGTAAAGTAAGTTTATAGGTTTCTTATGTGTTATTTCAAACCAAGGGTTATAAGATTGCTCGCATTGAACAAACGGAATCAATTGATGCTATGAATGAACGATGCAAACGAAAATCTTCAAGTGAGAAGGTTGTGCGAAGAGAAGTATGTCAACTTATAACACCAGGTACTTGCACAGCCAGTACGAGGTCAGAGATATCTGATGTAAAGGCTGTGGAGACTGGTGATGTTGAAAACGATGACGAAAGCTTTAGGGATTTGATAAACTTATCCAATCCTGATTCATTTTTACTTGCTGTTGTAGAATCGCACGGTAATAAAAGTTACCCTTTTGCTTTCGGAATAGGTTTATTGAATGCATCCACTGGCAAAATCAATGTAAGTTGCCTTCGGTTTTATACAACCAAAGTAGATTGGTCAGTTTTTAGATGATCGTCACTGTTCTCGATTACGTACATTTTTATCCCACCATCCTCCTAACCAGGTAAGATGTGCAAAGGCGTTTTGTTTCGTGTTAGATACATAGCGTTGGTGTGTTCTCATCTGTTCACTTTGTGTTACCCTTTACATTGTTTACTCAAATAATTCTCTTTTAAATGTTATTCCTAAATACCTTGATCTCCGGTCGCATGCGAAGAAATTGATGTTTCTTGTTTTACGTCATAATTTACTTCCTTTTTGAATCCGAAATTTCTACACTCACTATATTCCATTCACATTTATTTCATTTGTGGATGACTTTGTCATTATGTAATTAGGTGTTTACTAAATTCTCTGTAGCCACATTGATTTAATCGCGTTACACCGAATCTTAAAAATTTCCACATGGAATATTCATGTGCAGGTCAACACCAGATGCAATTAAGTGCTAAGCCGTTTATATAATGTTTTCAAAGTTAATCAATTCAGTGATGACAGGGGAATCATCTATATTTATTTAAACGGGTAGTAGAACCGTTACATTTCAGTCAACGTTTTTAAATATTAGATACCACTTAGGTCCAGACGATCCTCAATAAGAAATGGGAGATTTTTGATCGTTATAAGCGTACAGTTCCAAGTTCACCAAAAGGTTACTTCAAACTGTATGTTTAACAATTATTCTAATGCTCTGGAAATTTAGTCATCTTATAGTTAAGTATCGGCGAGTTAAAATTTATCACATTAAAGTTTATGAAAATGTCAGAATAAGAGTAAGGTTGAACGACAAGCTCTAGAAATTTTCATTTGTTCTTTCTTCATAGCTTAAGGATTCGAATACTGCACCGACAATAACAAAGTCAAGTGTTGAGTTCTTTTTCAAATAAGTGTAAAAGACTAAAACGTCTGAAATAACTTTGCCAGTCTGAGTTTGATATGGATGGAGTATATATGATGAAATCCCTTTTCTAAAAGATTGGTGACTGATCGGTTAATATCTTTCGTAATATTCAATAATCAGTTGTTGGACAGTTGATCAGTAAAAATTTGACCAATCTAATACGTTCAGTTCTTGAATTGGTTTATCCTAGAATTCTGCCTCATCACTTTGGTATTTCATCTTTTCGCTTCAATAAAACCAGATAATTACGGACCAAATGTAGTACGCCCCTCCCGTTCTAGCCGATGCTTCCGAGACCTTATCACTCGATATACTTCAGTTAAGTAAACTATTGTGGGAATTTATATAACTAATAGAAAAAGCCAGCTTGGTTGGATCGTTTGTTTAAATAAAAATGAAGGCACTATACACACAACCACTCAAGCAAGTTAATTTACTGATGATTTGGTAACATTAATGTTTTTTACCAGTTACTAATCGAGCGTGGAACTGCAGGAGTAGCTATAAAATCCTTGATAAAAACATCTCTTTCATGTGTTCCAACTGAGTTTCTAACGCCAACGAAACAGTTTTGGAGTGCAAAGAACACTGTCCATGAGTTGGAGACAGCTGATTATTTCCCAAAACGGATGTCCAACATCACCGTTGATTCGAACCATGTCTCCAAAGTATCTTCGTTCCCTGACAAGGAAAGTTGGCCAGATGTTCTCTTAAATATGTTATCCGAAGGTTCGTTACGATATGTGTAATGTTGTTTTTCAGATTTCGTTCTAGTTAGTCTGTTTTGAAGTTGCAGATTTGTCAAAATCTTTGTAGCAGAATAATGAATATGTTTATTCTATATGTTTCAACCAATGCAATAAAAGTTCAGTGTTTTTCTTGTCGTCTGTTCATATCAATTTCTAATTTGAATTTTCATTGTTTTCAAGCATTTATCTTGGAGATATGAACCTCCAATAAGATGTCGGAGATACATCATGAATTAGTCACACTCAGTCATCTTCTAAACTGATCCTTTTGAATAAGAAGTGACATTCTCGCAACACAATCAAAAATTTAGTTGTGTTCTGAGAAACGTCCTGCCAAAGTAAGTAGTATTTGGTGGAGTTTCGTTCTCTGAGCTGGATGGTTTGGTCGTGGAGCTTTCATCGTTCTTCTGAACGACATCATCAGACCAATCCATCCAGCTCAGAGAACAAAACTCCACCAAAATCATCCACCTGAGCTACACATCTCCACCATCTCAAAGTAAGTAGTAGAAGAAAGACTTTTCGGTGTCAGAACTAATTATAATGACTCAATATTTAAAACGTCGAACTTTCAACCATTGGGTTGAAGTTCAAATCTTATTCCAATTTCTTTGGTTTAGAATTCTTGATGATACGAACAGCGCCTAGATTTGAAGCGTCATTCGAAGCCGAATACATTAGTCTGAGTTCAGATAGTGGTGTAAGCAATTTTCATTCCTTATTTTAGTAAAAATCAATCAAGTATATAAAAAGCAGTATAGTTAGTGTGGGAATTGGTTTTAATTTATTTATTTTGTAGTTTTCGTATGCACATCTCTTATAACCGGAGATTATATTTGGTCGTAATTGACAGTCGGTATCACGTTAAACAGCTATAAAGTCCAAATCACATTAGCTATAATGTTTTTACTCGAGGATCTACTGCAGTAGGAGAATTGACTTTCTGGTAGTAAAACCAGCAGCACATTTATCACTGTCTAATACAGCATATTATAACCTCGTGTTGCACAGTCATACCTTTCACTTGAATGTACTAATAGAATAGATGCAGTACGATTTTTAAATTGGTCTCTTATTCCTGTGACATTCTACCCATGTCAGTCTTGACCTCTACGTTTTTAGTAAACCTCTAACCAGTGGGTAGGTTAAATTTCCTAGTTCGCTGACTGTGAAATCATCTTTAGATTTTTTCATTACATTTTCAACAAAGTAAATAACACTCACTGTAACTTCACTTAGTGCAATTTTATATTTAAAATACTCAGTAATACTTCTCTAAGTTCTAATGAATATGGCCTTTTTTATTTATTTCGGACCAGATGATCCACTAGGACGTACTGTAAAGTCAGAGTGGGAACTAGCATTTCGGTGTCTTGGTGCACTTATTTACTACTTACGTTACTGTTTGATTGATCGTGAAGTACTATCACTGGGTTTCATTGATGTATACGTACCAATAGATATGAAGAATACTAACTCTCAAAGAAGTCCTGGGTCTATTGAATTATTTTATGATACACAGTCTCAGATGGTAAGTTTAAAATTCTGAAATGCATTTGAGTCTTAAATCCCAGTTAGGTCTCTATCTTAAACTACTAAGTTTTCAGCCGTCTCAGTGATCGTTTTCCTAAACACATCAAACACAACAAATGAGTGGTTTTTTATTTTGCTTCCGCAGTCCCAAGAAGAAACTAAACTATTGATGATGGTTTTCCTATTGATGTAGTACTAGAACATATTAATTGACGTATTTGTTATTAACTAGCCTTAATCTCGATTGATTGATTTCTGTACACCCCTTTTGACATTTAACCACATTGAGTAAAACCAAGATAATTAAGTCTGCCACTTTTAAACTTGTGTTTTTGTGATACGTTTATTGGTTTCCGATTGTCAGATCACCACCTAAACCATTAGATACATACAACTTACTCTATCCATATTTCTATATCATAGCTTGCAGTAATGTAGAAATAAAATAGTCTTATACTCATAACGTCAAGACATGAGTTATTAGTATCAGAAGGGGTTTTGTGGAGATTGTAGTAATTTCAATAGTTGAGATCATGAGTCAATTGAAGCTAGACCACGATGGAAAACCTGGAAGCACTGGACGTCCGTTTTGTTCTATTGTGGGACTCCTAAGCAGTGCGTATCCACAACCCAGGACCTATCAGTCTCGCGCGCGAGCGCTTAACCACTAGACCACTGAGACGGCATCTAACGGTGTTAATGTCTAACTTCAACTAATCCACGAAATTGAGTGACACACCCACCATTGTCATCAGTGAGTTCCTATCTCACATGAGTTATTATTAAAAAGCTCAGACATTTGGTTTGGACGATGTGTACTGACCACCTCTTCACCCCTTCCAACACCGTACCAATGTTCGAACAAGTAAATAAATAAAACAGCCCCAGACTTCGTAAATAGGGTTAATGATACAACTAAGAACAAAGTATATGACAAAAAAAATCGAATTGTCAATTATGTGCATTCCCTTTCTTTTTGGAGAAACTAAATATTTTATACTTCGGTTTTTATTTAGCGTCTTGTTTTCAGTTCTCATAGCTTTTTATTTACAATTGATTGATCACAGGGTACTGATCAATGTCATGTATGTCAGGTCCTTATTGCAGGTCGAATCCTATCGACCAAGTTGCAATGTGGCTCGACAGTGCGTGCACTATGTTGAGATAAGATGGCGGTTGGAGGGAACCTAGGTCTAGGATTTCCTGTTGACTACCTCCAACCACCATCTTATCACAGCTTTTTGTTATAGCTAGGATCCTTATCTTTATTTTCCCCTTCGTTCTCTATCCGCGTGGCTACTAGTTATTGCAAACGTAGACTGATCGTCTGTTTTTGAAATTTTTCATTGAAGATGTCTGTTTTCATTTCACAGTTTTTACACTTATATGTTTGAATTTGTAACTTTAGGTCGTTGTTAACTTCCGGGTTTTTCTTAGGTATTTCATTTTCGTAGAATAAATTTGATGACTTATATGAGTTTCGATTTCTTTCGTTGTTGATATTGAGAACTGAAATAACCAATAATTTTTGCTATTTCGGTTCCTTGTACAAATTTCTTGACATCATTTGCGTTTACGTATTTATTATACTTCGATAGTGGATAGCAACGAAATACGTCTTCTACTTTTGTTATTGAGAACTGTTGATGAAAGTTTATTTATTTGAACACATAAACTTTAGTACAAGAAGGGACCGAATACCTATGCGCCACACAATAACAATGAGGTTGTGAAGAGAGAGGATAGAGGGTGAGTATAATGAAAGAACAACAATGAACAGAAATTAGTGTATGAGTGAAACGTTAATAATAATAACAATAATAACAATAACAATAATAATAATAGTGGGAGAAGCAGTTCAGTTAAGAAAAATACAACTAGAAAGAATTCTTTCAATTAAAGAAGTTACATTCACCTTTGCGAAGAAGGTAAAAGAAAGTTACAGCAGGATCGCGATGGGCTTCTTTTCTGAGCCACGTCTGATAACGTCTCAAGCCACTGTGTTGTACCATCTCTAGGATCCCAACCAGGGAGTCGTGAATGACCAACAGAAGCCAGTCCTGTACAGCTTTCTTTCATACCACATCATACACTGACCACCTCTCCACTTTTTCCGATCGGTCCCTGCTTTGGCAAATAATGCACAGAGTGGAACTCTCTGGGACGATATTCGTAGTACATGTCCAAGCCACGGAAGTCGATGTTTCGAGATGGTGACATCAACTAAATTATCATCTCTGTGCCCGAATGCACGACGTCGAACATTCCGTTACTGGATATCAGCAATCCTTCAGAGAGAGCGATGATCAAACATATAGAGTCGTCTAACATCACCAGCTCAAACAGGTCAGGTTTCACAAACATAGAGCAAAACTGCTCTCACTGATGTGTGGTTGATCCAACGTTTTTACACCCAGTGTAACATCACGGTGTCAAATATGAGCCAGATTGTCCTTGGCTTTCACCATACGTGAATTGGTCTCATCTCACGCACCGGCAATTACACAGCTACCCAGATATACGAATTCTCGACTACTTGATCTGTCACAATCCAGGGGGAGTGCAGGTTCAGGGTCTTGCTAGTTTTGTAAAAGTACTTTGCACTTCGAAGGTACAAAGCATATGCCATACCGATGGGTACATTGCCAACTGATTGAATGCAGATTGCATGGCTTGGGTATCATCCCAATGTCCAAAAATCTTTCTCCAGGCAACAGATCCACACCACCACTACTTACATCCATCAGAGCTGTTTCCAGAACGTCATCGATGAAAATGCTGAGGAGGAATGTTGAGATCGGGCATTTTTGCCTAATCCCACTGCTTGAATGGTGCAATGAATAGAGATGGTTACATGCCCTCACTATGCCTGGTGTGTTTGTATATAGGGCTTTAATGATGCTAATAAACTTCTCAGGCATACCCTTCTTCAATAGACAATCTCAGATAACAGCCCTGTCCAACGAATTTAAGTCGTCCCTAGTGTCGAAAAACACTACAATTTTTGGCTCGCAATAAGTATGGCGGTGTTCCATGCAATGTTTGAAGAGATTACGAGATCACCTAAAATCGGCAAACGGAACGAAAAATCTGTGACACGACGAAGCAAGCTAACTTCCAATGCGTCCTAGCCTCGCTAACCAGAGGTAGAAAACTAGTTCCAGATGAGGGAAAGACATATTCCAAAAGCAGCCAGAAGCACGAACAAAACAAGCACACAACTCAAACGTATATATATACAGCACAAAAAGGACCTTCGAAGCGTCATAAAATAGCGTATTGAAAAAAGCAATCGGCCAATCACATTGTAGATCCTACCAAGTGGGAAATACAATATGAGCGTCAAAATGGGCGCTTTTGGCGCGAAAATGAGAAATTCAAGTTTCAAAAATAAAATTGCAATGATAAGAGGTTTACCAAGTGGTTTCTGTGTATCTGGCATCCCCAACACCCTTACATCATAAATGGATCAATGTTAGACCACCATTAAAAGCCTGGATGCACTGAGCAGCTGTTTCGTCCTAATATGGGACTCCTCAGCAGTGCGCATTCGCGTTTCCGCACGCGGGACTCGGACTCAGGACCTTCGATTTCGCACCCGAACGCTGAACCTCCAGAACAACGAGCCGGCATCCAACGGTGTTAATATTTCTTTTCAACCAGTCCACGATATTGCGCGACCGTCCATCATTGTCATCAGTGAATAACCGCTTCACAACAAACACGGTAAAACTCCGCTAGTTACGGCTTTTCACTAGAATTCTAGGAGATCCGTCTTGAAACTGGTCACTAGTGAACATTTGGTGAAGGATGAAGATATGGTCACTACAGCCTCGACCAGAACAAAAACCAACCTGCTCCCCGCGAGTCAATGTTTATCGGGTTTTGAACAGTCTACGAAGTATGATGGAAACCAATAGTTTGGGTGCAATCGAAAGTAGACTTATCCCCCGATACTTGTTGCAGAAACAATGTGAACCCTTTTTAAAGATAGGAATAATTATCGACTCATTCCACGATGTTAGAATACTCTCTAACTGCCAAATTTTTGTAAACAATGCAGACAGTTCCTTAACCAGAAGGTCGCCACCATCTTTAAAAAGAGCTGGTGGTAAGTTATTTGGGGTTGGTGATTTGTGGCCCTACATGTGTTGGAGTTCCTTGCGCTATTCCGCCTCGTTAGGTGGATCAGTCGTCACCGCTCATGGAGGGCACGACAATTTGATCGATGTCGCCGGAGCAGCAGATCAGTTAAACTGTTACTCGAAAAACTCTGTCCATCGTCCAAGACGTCGGTAGATGTTATTGGTTGGCATCCCGTCAGCTCCCCAGATTGTTTCACTCACACCAGACTTCATGCTTCCAGTGGCTCGGATAAATTCAAAGGGCTTCTGGCAGTTACCAGATGAAACAGCTGTTCCCGATTCGTTAGCGCGTTCTGACTACCAGTCTTCTCGGTCCTTAAGCAAGCTTTTCACAATTTCATTCCTTGAAAATATTCGTTTATGGTCAAACTCGTGGTTACCCGAGGTAGACCGACGTGCTTCAGCGAGTTGTTAAGAGCTATTTAAACCGAGCCCTTATAAATGGGAAGTTCTGCGAAGCCGCAAGCGACCTTACTCGCCATTTTCATGGCGTTATGCAATTGTGGCCAATACTCATCTATACTTTTTGGTGAGCTGACATTTAGTTGCAACAGAAGCTGCAACCATGGATCCGTTTAGGACGATGAATTTGTTGGCCACTAAAAAGTAAGGTATGATTAGCGCAAGCAAGGGTATGATCAAAGTCCACATAGGTACTCCAAAAGGAGCGACAATCTTGTACACAACCGCGGTAGCTGGTCGTGATGTGATCAATCTGAGATCTTGAGGTGCCGAGGGAGGACGCCATATAACACATTGGCGATGACTATTTTAGTAGATAGTGCTAACCAGAAACACGCTGTGACCTGCAAACAGTTGGAGTAGGCAGTCCCAGTTACCTGACCGGCGACCCACAAGTTCCTATCGGCCACCTAAACGACTCTTTTCCGTACCTAGACGTCTGACCTGAACATTCAAGTTTCCGGCTAGTACTGCAATATCTGTCGAACTCACTTTCTATAGAAGAACGGTTAACTGGTGATAAAACTCACCTATAATCGCACCCGGAAAGCAGTCTATCGGAGAGTAGGGGATATGACGAGAAGATATGGTTTCGCACACCGATTTCTTCGCACTCTGATGTAACCTAATCTAACAACACATAGCCGACTGTTAATGAGGATTTAGTCGATCAGTACTTCCTCAACTTTAGTGCGACACCAACGCCAGCAAAACCAAACAAAGATGCCACAAGGTCCCCGTATAAACGCACGTAAAACAAGCTTATCTGGTCGACAGATGGAGAACGAATTTGTAGTACTTCACTAGAGTCTTGAAAACGGGTCTCAGATAGACAACAGACATCAATATTAATACTTTCTAAAGACATAGCCAACCCTATCTGTTGTCCGATCTGCATTAGTGCGCGAACGTTGAAGGAAGTCAGTCTGAATGATGTACATGGTTTTAGAAAAACTTTCAGTATTCTCATTCGGCGGTAGCATTCAACTTCCGACCAGTCAGTGACTTGATATCGTTTAGATAAGACGGTTTCCACCATATGCGAGCTGCTGTATAAGTTGAAAAAGAAAAGTATACATATAATGAGAATAAAAGGGAGTAGATAAGCGACGTATTGTAAGAAAGATAATTTTGAATATGATTTGTTGGAATCAGTGTCGAAGCAACAATAATTTTCTCCAATATTAATCATCATTTAATTTGTTTGAGTGTTAGGATAGTGCAGGGGTGCCTAAACAGGTAGTTTTCTTAGGAGGCTACACCCGAAGCCTTTGACCTAAAGGTCTATTCCACAAGACAGTGGAACAACGTTAGAAGATGCTGTCCTATGGAACCGGTGACTAACAATAGGTTCATACGCCATTTGTTCCCTCAGTATCCTGGAGCCTGTGTGTACCATTGGTTTTGAGTCAGGATTTTCCAACCCCTGTAGGTAGATCCTCTGTATCCATTAATCCGGTTAAGGAATAATTCTCTTTCCATTCTTTTTATTTCGTAAACAACACCCCCATTGCATGAAGGCAATGAGTAGGACCTACCTTGCAGTGACTGTATACGTGAGTTCATGTGAGAGTATTTCGAAAGGGAATCGGATTCTCTTCCTTCTCGACCATATCAGGGCATTAGGGGCTGATGAAAGTTGTTACCCAGAAACCCGGTGAATCACGATCTGATGTGCGAGATAATGGGCACTGATTTCAAGTGTCAGTGAAGACATCATTAAAGCACACATACGTTCAGCTGACAAGTTCTGAACTAAACGTAATTCGTTTCATGAGTAACTCTACCACTAACCATTAAAAAATATATATGTCAAGTAAAATTAATGTTATTAAACAACAGCTTCTATAGAGTTTTTATAATCGGAGTTAAAACACTAGGTTTTTATAATTAATTTTTGCACCTTTGGATGTTGTCTTCACTAAATACTTCATAAAAGTATCATTTCTCACTATTATTCGTACTAATCAGCTAAGACAAAGTAGTATACTCAACACTCTGGAATTACGCTATAACAATCGAAAGTGAATTTAAGCAAATTACAATACATTTTTGCAGATTACTACAGCCTTTGTACATACTGAATCAGCTCAACTTGTCCTGATTTCAGCCCACTTCTTGACGATTGAAACTAATGTTTTTCTACAAAAGGGGTTTTTATAGGATAGTAGGCTGGTCAACATTTAATTGTCATAGATAGGATTTTCTAAATTTACGTTTCAATATACCATATTATTCAATATATTTACTGTTTAAGTAATTATTTTGGTCGTGTGGATAAAACATATATGCAGGTTTTGGACAGTATTACATTATCTAATTTGGATATCATACGAAACAATGTAGATGGTTCTCAAGAAGGTTCTTTGCTGCAACGTCTCAATACTTGTTGTACCTTCTTTGGTATGTCATTGTTTGTATTTGTGTAATTTGTTTTATAATCGGAATATAGACAAATAACATGTAACAAGAAGCGGTTATAATAAATGTTGTTGAGTGTTGAACAATCAGTTAGTCGTAACATAGAGTCTGGTACGTATGCACGTTGGTTCAAGATGTCATGCTTCATTAGCACAGAGAAATGGAATTGTTATGCTAAATCCTAGTATAGTAGATGTAGTGTTAGCATCAGTGGTAATAGGAAAGATTACGCATTGAAGATGCGAATCGAGAAGAAAATACAAAATAGTGAAGTAAAGATAAAACAGTAATTTAAGAATCTTAGGATTTGGCGGAAGATGAAGAACGAATGCACGTGCTCCATTGCAAATAATTTGAGCCATATCATTCAAAATCTCTAACCATTGGTTACGATAATCACGAGGACCCCAACTGGGTTCTGAACAATTAGTTTCATAATCGTTGGATATCGATTGTTTAGCAGATACTTGTAGTTATGTTTGTGAAAATCACAACAATTGAATATCGTCGACGTTTCGCCTTTCGGTGCGATCCCAGCCTCAGAGAAATAATCTTAACAATGTCACACCAAAACTATGTATTAAACGATTGTTCGATCATGTTAGACTGTTGAATATCATTCCTAATGTGTGAATATGAGTCATTTGATGTGAAATACGTTCAAATTGTAGTAATTGGAGAAATTTTTGTATCTGTATGTGATTATTACTCGAAAATCAATAATTGTATATGCCGTTACTCTATGGTCATAATCATCCACATTGATATTTAGAAATCGAAGTCTTTAGTTACAACTTATTAAAGAAAATATACTATGGAGAACCTAATTTTTTATAAACTAATAATAATAAATTTATTCTTATGAAAAGTCTCTCAAATTGTAGAGCAAATATAATTTTGTTATGACATTTGACCATTTAAAATGCCGAATTTCATAAACATTATCGAGACGAGTTGAAAATTAACCATAATGACTAAAAGCAACGTGTATTCCTTATTTATGTGATAACTTTGTAATAATCGAAATGACCATTTATTGTTAGCCAGAAATCCCATCTACACAAAATGACTCTTGTAAAAATATTTTTCTTACGTCCGCTGTCACTACTATGCTACAAACTCAGCTAATTTCTTTCATATTATGAAGTCGGTTAAAATATAGTATCTTTTTATTTAAAAAAGATTGGTTTACGGATGCTAGAAGTAATTACTGCTGTTACCCTAAACACTTAATGGATATTGAAAAGACACCTATCGGTTCCTGTTTCATATGTATTTAACACAATTTTCTCACATTTCGATTTCTCTTTTAAGGACGTCGTTTGTTGCGTCAGTGGATAACTGCTCCACCATGCAACCCAAATGTTATTAGACAAAGACAACTGGCAATTGAAAATCTTATTTCTATCAGTGACATAATTCCTAAACTTCGAGACAAATTAGCTCAGTTGCCTGATTTAGAGCGTCTTATTACAAAGTAAGTTTGTTTGTTGATTTTTTAAGAAGTTATATTCTGTTTCTAATCAAATCTACTTTGTACCTTAAAAATACACTGATATTTCAATAAAGACGATTGAAAATTTCCGATAATTTTTCTTCCTACAGAATTCATTTATTGGGTTCTAAAGGTGATAAAAACCATCCAGATAGTAGGGCAATCATATTTGAAGAAGTTCAATATTCAAGAAAAAATATTACTGATTTTGTGGCTACTTTAGATGGTTTCGAATTGAGCTATAAAATAATTCATGAAATCAACCATTATTCATTAAGGTTAGTTTTAAATTATTTATGCCAATATAAATTAGTATATTCTCGATCGGCAAGTGTTTTTTTTAAAGTTTACTAGTAAAAGATCCTTTTAGTAAATCCATGCTTATTGATAAGCTCGCTTGATGAAGTGGCAACACTGATATTCAGAATTATGTTAGTGACCGATAACACCAGCTTGATGCTCATACCATTCTTTCTAACAAACTTTATGTGAAGTTATCACAAGATAAATAACATAGTTATTTATTATTACAAAGTACTGTGATAGGATCTAAGAATTACGAAGAGTTTTTCGACTTTCAGATTGCCACTATTAATCCTGTTAACATTGGACTGCATAATAGGTTTATTGATTTGAGTGAGATTAAAATTATTTAGAGCTTAGTAAAATAATTTATATTGTTGATTTTCTCGTTGATTTGAAGTTAAGAAGCTGGTATAAACGTAATTTGATACACGTCTGGAAAGTCATCACAGCCAATAACGAGCCATATATAATCATATTCTTTTCCTCGCAATTAAAAATGAGCAGTTAATGTGTCTGTATTGTGACTAATAGCTTAATCCTAGAAGTTGCTTGTATTACAGTTTATTAGTATGTAACTTACGTTTCAATAGAAACACTACTTACTGTGTATATTTTTAGGTAGTCCTGTTTCGTGAATTCATTAATCATAAATATTCAAATAAACTAATGACTAATTACTTATGGAAAACCATTTCACTAAACTCCAGTAACCTAGAAATTTATTTCTTGTTTACATTATGGATGTAACTTCTGTAAACACAATAAGATGATGATCACCTTATACTCTCCTATCACACAGTCCTGTTTATTTACTAGAGAGATACACTTGATATCTCGCAATGAAATTAATTTCTTCAAATGTTACTTTCTGTATTCCGTAATTTTGTGTAACAGAGAGACAAGATCAGATCTCTTGAAATGACTACCCTCTTTTGGAAATTCATTATGTGAGGAAAAAATTGCACTCTTTTCTTGTGTCCTTAGTAACTGCGTACCCTGTTAGAAGCAATAATTCAGTCAAGTTATAGTTTTTATCGTTTATATTTTCTTTAATAGACAAGATAATTTTACCCATTCTTTCGATTGAACTTTATAAATTGTACTGGAATATCATAAAAATCGTAAATACAACAGTTTCATTTGTCTTGAATATCTGTTTATCTAATCAGTGACCGCTACTTGGATGTAGTACCATTTTGTTTATTGTTAAATATACTTTAAGTCTGATGTGTATTTTTAATCCGTAATTTTAGCTCCGCATATTTGAAAAAATTAGTAACTTTAACTAGCCTGAGCGGCAACTTTCCTGATATCAGTGAGAAAATAAATTATTTCAAAGTACGTTTGAAATATATGCGTTATTAGCTTTTTAAACTGCTTAATTATAATTGTGGAAACTTTGCTCTGTTGGCCTTTTGATTTGTTTTAATTTTTTCCCTTTTTTATCTTTCCTTTTCAAGTTTTTTGAACCAATGATAAGAGATATGTTGAACCTATGTAGGTTGAAAAGTTGAACCTTCATTTTTGACCAAATAGAACTGTGGCACATTTGTCAGTTGTTACCACTAGGACGTATACTCGTTTAACACATGTCAGTGTATTCACTCAAGTTCTTTTCATTGATTGACCCTTACTCAGTTCATTTCATCACCTTTATATAATAACTTGCTACTTGATAGAAATGCCTAGTACTAAGGACTAATCATCAAATAAACTTTACACCCATTTATTATTCATTTCGGATGCAACGGTATCTTTAAATTCAGTTTCTGTAATTAATAGACACAGTCTTTAGTTATTACCTTCGTTGTCATTTTATTGAATTGCTCATAACATTGATTTGTTAAATGGTGGCTAATAGCTTATTGTATGCAGGTACATTTTAAATGTCTAAGATTTCGTGCTTATACGGAAAAGTCAAATGCACTCAAATATCTTATCATAAGTAGTAGAGGAGGGTAGGTGTTAATACTTTGACAAAGCGAAATCTCACAAAACGTCATTGATTTATAATATTAAGCTTTGTAGTAGAACACAGGGAGAATAGATAAGTTACTAAAACAAAACTACTTGGACCGGCCAATATACAACTTTCCATAGGTTCGTTCCTCTGCAATATGAAAGGAACCTGATTGACACACTTCATATGCTTCCTAGATGCGGTTGAATGTACCGAGTTTATCTTCATTCACTCTGTAATTTTATCCATATCGAATAGGTTTCATTATTATTAATTTTCCGTTTCGTTCGTAACTCTTCAACAATTAGCGGACTTTAAGGTTCTCGTATTGAAGTCCAAGTTTCTTTGTCAATTGTTGAGGGAATTCTCGACAACTAATAAAAATCCCCCTTTAATCAACTTTTTTTAAACAGCGAATTTATTAATTCGTTATTTAGAAGAGATTAGAGTTAATATTGAATTATTGTAACCCAGGAAACGGTTTGAATTTTTCTTAAGTTGTCATTTGTTTTTTTCACTAAAGAACTAATGAAAATGTAAGGGTTTCCATGAGGAAACGGATGGCTTTTATTTGAAGTTCAAACAGTGTTGTCTTACAAATGTGGTATGAATTATACTAATTTGTTGTTATGTTTCGTTTTGTTCGACTACAGATTTTCACAATTACTCTGATTTCTCTTCATGTCATATATTTTATAGAATGCTTTCGATGCTGAAAAAGCTAAAAATGAAGGTCGAATCATTCCAGAACCTGGTATAGATCCTGAATATGATGAGTCTGTGTCGGAAATCAAAGTTCGTGCCCATTTTATTATTAATATTTTTCAACTCAATTTTAGTGTGATTTGTATTCATAGGTTTTGTTAACATATTGTATGTTTATTCTGGAAGCTACGTGTATCACGGCGGCTTACGTACATTATTGAGTGTAAAATAAGAAAGTCTAATTTTCGTTTTAAAAATAAGCATTCCAGTGAAACCTAGTCAAATTTAGTTTTAGAGATTGTGTGTTATTAAAACTCACAGTATTAGGAACATCGATATGAGGAAAGCTATTTTAAATGTTTTGTTAAATTCGAAATAAATTCATCACGGTCCAGTAACTGAAAACTTGGCTTTCAACCACACGCATTAGTGAGGTCCAATGATACTACTCGATTATCTAAGGGGTGGAGCAAAAGATTTACATGTGTGTGAATGCGTCAGCCAAAATTAAGATAGTAAATTAGATAATCATACTAGGTAGTAAATGATAATAAAATGTATCTTATCATATTTGAGCAAACGTGGGACTGAATGCAATGGCTACAAAATTAGTAACGAATATGGTAGTAATAATCAATTGAAAGAGTTTGACGAGTAAATTTACATATTGACTCAGTGATTTTAACTCACTAACAAAGTGATACGTCAACCCCGGAACCAGGACACAAGGTTTATTTAAAATACAAAACCATCACAGCAAACAAAATAAATATTGAAAATTTATGAACAAAGAATCATAATTTGTGCGGTGTTTCATTATGTCGACGAACACATTTGATGAGAAACTTCATACTTCATTCAGGAAACAGCACATATTTATATCAAGCAGAAGTATCAACGACAAACATGTCAAGGATTTTTAAAATTAGGTAGTTCGTTTAAAAACAAATAAATGTGATCAAAAAAGTGAATGATGAGTTAAGAAATAAATACCGTTCATTGAGACTACGAAACATAACATCAAACAGTATACAAGTCATACAAATATTTAAGCTACTGTGTAATAATAAGTAGTAAAAGCGAATAAACAAATAAAGTTTGGGTGTGAAAAAAATTTCAAGTTTTTAACTTTCATAATTTTCCACTTTCAGAGGATTGTTGAGGATATGGACAGGTTTTTATTAAAATGGAGCAAAACATTCGGCACACGGGTAAGCAAATAGTTTCTTAAATACCCAAAGACATTTAAAATATCCACTGACCTTCCTTTTTTATTTAAAATTAATCCGTTTATTTTTTTTCATATTTCTGAAAATATCGTTTAAACAGTAATGCTAAATGGGAACTTAGACTTTGGTACGATATGATTTCATGTCTAAAAGGCCGACAGTAATTTGGTTAGATAAATTTTTTAAGGAGCTGAAAACTAGGCTTATGTACAACAAATAGAAGATATTCTAAGAGTTCATGAATCAGTTTATCGATCCTAGATAGTTTAATCGAAATCGATGTGATAATGCAGTAGTCGATAGCAGTTAGTAATGAATTCTAAGTTTAGCGTCAATATTTTTTTAGTATATGTTGACGAATTAAAACCGGCAACTCCGTAAACAATCTGGGCGGCCTGCTTGATTATCTGGGGTACCTGTTTCTGCCATCTGATTATTTCAACAAGTTATCTGGATTTTTTTCGTTTGTTTTAACTTATAATTATGTCCATTGATCGCATAACCTATCCAGGCGCTTTTATGAAAAGCCTACGACCTTTCGCTGCACAGGTTACAAAAAAGTACTATAAAAGACATCGTGGTGGTTGGCAATATGCGTTAAAGAGAATGAATATTAATCGTATGTCGATTCCCGAGCTGCTGAATTCTAACTGTCGATCACTAATCAACAAAGTGGACTATCTGCGATCCCTACTAAGTCAAAATATGTAACGTAATTGTGGTGTCATCACAATTCAAGAATCTTGGTTAAATGATTTACAGGATGACTGCCTAGTATCACTACGTGATTTCATAATTTATCGTCAGGATCGATCAAACAATAAAAAGAGGTATGGTGATGTTGTAGCTACGTTTGTAAACATAAACTGGTGTCGATCTTCGTTTGTGTGTTTTAAGTTTCCAAATGACTTTATCGACTGTCTAATTCTAAGATGTCGTCCAAAACATCTGAATAAATACAAATATGTTTTTGTTACCAATATCAACATGACTCCAGATTGTACATCATCTGCACTATCTGTTTTCGCTGATGAATTCACTGAGTTCGCTGTTACTGCCTTCAGTGATTCACTTTCAGTTGTATGTGGTGATTTCAATTCATGTGACTGTAGCTTCCTTACATCACTAGGTCACCAAAATGTAGTAGATTTTCTTACCCGTTTGGATGCTCATTTAGACTTCGTCTTCATTAATGAAGTGGGTATATATGCGACTCGTAAACGTGCTCCATTGTCTAGCTCGGATCACTGTGTAATTCGTGTTCTACCTAAAGTATATGGAAAGCATGGGAGGAGTACACTCCTACGTCAAACCAGAAAAGTCAAATATAGGAATTACGCAGAAGAAAATATCCGAAATCTGAAAAACATGTTTCATACGACTAACTGGGAATTATTTACAGATGACTCACTCGAAAACGCTACTGATGTTATCACGTGTTACCTTAAATTCTGTTTTGATATTTGTTGTCCCACTGAAACCATTTTTGTAAGTTTTGATCGACTTACATCTACGCAACTAAAACGACTACGGAGAATAAAAGAAAGGATGTACAAGGTGAAGAACTCTAATGAAATTCGTAAGCTAAATGGTCTGATAAACCTAGAGATTAGACGTCTCAACTGTATGTTTACTCAAAAACTCTTGTCTTGCAAAAACTCTCCAAGTATGTGGAAACCCTTTAAAGAACTTACAGGTGACAGACAGTTTAGAAGCGATAAGCAGCTGAATGTTTGTGACTTAAATAAGTCTTTTGTACGTCAGTCATCTGATGTGATGCTCCCTCTGTCCACGGGTTTAAAAACTAGCTGTGTTCCTACTTTCACTGAGACTGGTGTACGAAGATGTCTCCAGTCGCTTAATTCATCTAGATGTTTGGGACCTGATGGTATCCCAAACATACTTTTTAAAAAGTGTGCTGACGTCCTATGTTATCCGTTCACAGCTATCTTTAACAGATCCTTCTCATCTAATCTCATACCGAAAATGTGGAGAAAGATGAAGATAATTCCTGTACCCAAGAAAGCATCTGGTGATAAGACTGTAAAATTTAGACCTATTGCAATAACTTCACCCTTCCTCAAAACAATGGAAAAATTATTAATACTTCCACTTCAGCCTGGGATAAAAAAGCATATTGATCCATATCAGACGCAAAAGAAGCACTTTAGATGCTGTTGCTGTACTGCATCACAACGTAGTGTTCAACTTAGAAAAGGGTCAGAAGTATGTTCGATGTGCTTCTCTGGACTATACTTCAACTTTTGGTTCTATACCAAGACAACGTTTACTTAACAAGTTAATCAGCGTCAACACTGACAGCTGGGTAACCAACTGGCTATGTTCCTACCTCTCTGGAAGGGAACAGTACACTGTGTTTGGAGGAAAGTGTTCTGAGTCTCTGCTGTCTCATAAAGGTGTACCACAAGGAGCTGTTCTTTCACCTCTTTTCTCTTTTTTTTCTGCACGATCTGCCATCTTCCACAGAAAACACTTTTGAAATATGCGGATGATCTCACTGTATGTATACCTATCTCTTCCTCTTTACATCCCATAGAAATGAATGAGTTTTTTGTCTCGTATTGATTGTTGATCTGTTGGTCATGGTCTCATACTTAATTCGTCTAAATGTCAAGCTGTTAACTTTAGCATGAGACATGAACGGAATCTAAACACCATTTTGAGATCCCATAATGCTTGTACCATCGGAGACTTTGATAAACACAATGTCGAAGGTCAATTATCTTGGTGTCACCTTTTCCTCTGATCTGTCTTGGTCTTCCCACGTTTTATTGTTATCAAAGAAAGTTTTCCGTCTGACCTACTACATAAAGAGACTGCATGCTCTTGGGATTACTCGTCATTTACTCTTACAATTTGTCGATTCTTGCATATTACCTATTATTCTTTGCTATTCTCCATTATTCTTTCCCGGGCTTTCGAGGAAAGACTTTGCTGTTTTGCGGAGAGTGCTGAAGGCAGTTGGCAAGATGTATGGTGAATCTTTCGAGGTCATAATTAATATGGTTGTGGATAGACATTTAAAATCATACAAACTCCTGGCAGGTGTTATTTTATCAGATACTAGCCATCCCCTTCACTCTTATCTTTCTCCTTGTATATCTTCCGGTAGAATGAGACGTAATTACATTAAAATCCATGCACTCAAGCAAAAGTATAAAAGTTTTATAATACCTTACCTAGCAAATATACTCTGTGACGAACAGGTTGTTAGAGTTGACCTAGTTAATAAGCTGCATTCTTAACATGTCGCTAGTTTGTAAAGTTGTACAGTTTTTCGGTTTTTTTTCTTTCTTTTTAAAAAAAAACCTTTTTCACTTTTTTGTATTCGTTACTGTTTTTTTATTGTTGCGTGAGTAACTTATTGAAATAACCTATGCTGAGAATTCTATATTGTACCAAAACTATAATATTGAATAAAGACATTAATAATAATAATAATAGCATGTTTCCTTGTGAAATCGTCCGCCAAGGTGCCATCTCACCAAGTTTACATAGTGACTAATCGAGTTTAAACACATCTGTTCCATACTGTCCATTTTCAGTGATTGACGAACATTCACGAGCAAAAGTCGTTTTCATTCAAATTAATGCTCAATGGAAAATTGCTTATTTGGAGTATAGATTTCATCATGCGTTTTTCGCAATCTACCTTGTGTGATACAGATAATAGGATTTTTTATATTCTAGTAATTATCACATATGCAACGTAGGTCATTTATGAACCAGAGAGACTGGTCAAGATCAATGAAGGCAAGACAAACACCGAAATTCAAGAACAGAGGAACATATGGGTAGAACACTTCGAGGAACCTTTAAACAGACCAGCTCCATTGAATCCACCATACATTGAAGCAGCACACATAGGCCTTCCCATAGATATCACTCCACCAACGGTCGAAGAAATCAGGATGGTCCTCAGACATATGCAGTGTGGGAAAGCAATAGGACCTGACAATATATCAGCTGAAGCTCTGATTTCAGAAATAGAAGAGGCTGAAAGCATGCTTCACGTTCCATTCAAGATTTCGGAGGAAGAACAAGTGCCGACGGACTGGAAAGAAGGATACCTTATCAAGATACCAAAGAAAGGAGATTTGAACAAATGTGAGAACCACGGAGGCATCAAATTACTGTCAGTACCAGAAAACGTTTCCAACGGTGTTGCTGAACCGGATGAAAGACTCAATAGATGCCCAACTTCTAGATCAACAAGCTGGATTACATAAGGATCGGTCATGCATAAACGAAATCGTGACACTATGGATAGTCGTTGAACAATCAATTGAATGGAACTCGTCACTATACATCAACTCCATTGACTATGAGAAAGCGTTTGACAGTGTGGATAGGAGAACATTATAGAAACTTCTTCAACACTTTGGAGGCAACGGATTGGCAAAGCAAGGACAGCACTCTTACAGTTGAAGAACACCTAGAACTCATAAAACCTGTCAACCAATACTAACACAAAGACAGTTCTACTGTACGGAGCTGAAACTTAGAGAACTACTACAACCATCGTTAAAAATATAAAAGTGTTTATAAACAGTTGTCAACGCAAGATACTCTGTGTCCGTTTGCTGTAAACCATCAGCAACAGGCTGCTGTGGGAGAGAACAAACCAACTTCCGGCGGAGGAAATTAGGAAAAGGTGCTGGAATTAGATAGGATATTTATTAAAGTAATCATCAAAGTGCATCAAGAGGTAAGCTCTCACTTGGAATCTTGAAGGGAAACAAAAAAGAAGAAGGCCAAAGAACGCACTACGTCGGGAATCGGAAGCAGACATGAGAAGGACGAATAGCAACTGGAAAGAATTGTCCAGGACAGAGTTGGATGGAGAGTTCTAGTGAGCGGCCTATGCTCTAACATGAGGGGTAACAGGCGTAAATAGTGTGCTAGTCAATCAATAAGTTTACTAAACGAGATCCATAACAATTGAACTGTTTTCATACCAATTTATTTATTCACACCACTTTATGAATAGGTGGTAATCTACCATACAGTTTACGGATAACCTTCAAGTACAGTTTTATCTGTGATCAGTAATTGAGTTAATGTTTCATTTTCATTGTTTCCTTATAATATCGACAGCTGTTTCCCTTCCATGTTATTTTTCTGTTCTGTTACTAACCAGGAGTGTTTATTCGTTCAATATTCTTTTTCATAATCATTTTATCTTTTAATCGACTATTTTGTTAATTTATTCATTGCATCTGGTTTGTTGTTTAAAATGTTTAGCTTGCATATTGGGGAACCGGTCGCAATCGTTATCAGATTGAAATCCCAGAATCTTCAGCATCTCGTGTTCCCAACTCATGGCAGTTATCTTCACAGCGAAAAGGTGTCAAACGTTATACTTGTTCAGAGACCCAACGATGGCTAAGCGAGTTAACTGCTGCTGAGGAACGAAAGGACGCTAGTCTACGGTCGATAATGCAACATATATTTTCATCGTTTAGTGAATCGTAAGTTATCTTTACATTCAATTCAAATACAATTTGAAACAGTGGGGAAGTTTATATTCAACCGATATTCAACTTGATAACTATTTCGCTGTTGCTATTATAACATTCAGAACATAAAGTAATCAATGAAAATATATTTTGAATACTTTATTCTCAAGGTATATGTGCTCATTATATGTACACACTGGATGAAAGTAATAGCTAATGTTTAACCTGTTTAGCCACAAATCTAGGACATTTTTCTGTTTGTAGAAGCCAAGTTTAATTTTATGTTATTTGGTATGGATGCGATAATATTGATAACTCTTACGCGTTTTAATTATTGTTACATTTTTATATAGCTTTCAACTGTTTATTAAATACTTTATTTAAAATCTTGAAGCCATCCATGACAGATTATTTCCGTTATTTTTAATACTTAGATTTACCGAGTGGCATATGGCTATGTCTTGTTTAGCTGAATTAGACTGTCTAATTACTTTATCTTCGTACAGTACAAATGCCTCTGATGTGATGTGTCTTCCAGAATTTATTGATCTAAATTCATCTACTAAAGTATGTTTGATTTCATCTTCTATTACGTACGATATTTGTCCATTATTTGTAAAATGTGTGAAATTACTATCATGTAGTGTGAAGATAATTGTGAACCACTGTTAATTTTGCCTGTAAGTTAACAAATTAGTTAATTTAGCAGGTTTTCATATGCCTTGTCAATGAGGTCTGCTGACATTGACTACTGTATATGCCAAAAGACTGGTAGCCTACAGGAAATTACCCACCGGTGCCTGATCTACTATTTAGAACACTAAAAAAAACTGGCTAACTTCCTTTTGGTATTCTTCTACATTCTTCAGAGTCAAAAACTCAAGTGATTGTATACATAAAATTCAAGATCATAATTTGCACAAACAATCTCAATATCTAGATAACTAAGATATTTTTTATACAAAATTAAGTAAAATGTTTGTAATTAATCTTCTGTAAATTATAAACGTTAAAAGATATTACAATAGATAATGAGTCAAACCAATCGTTTTGTATATATCTAATCAAAGTGTTCGTATTAAATCTTCAGAAAATAACTATTATATATATATATTCCACATTATTTGAATTGATATTATCCATTTATAAGAATAACATTTTTTAAAATTATAGTTGTGTAATTTGGATTTAAAAAATACATTTTTATAGCCATTACTGGAAATAGTTGATGGAATTCATCCTTGTCTAATAAATACATTTTCGGGTGGAGATATTATTCCAAATGATATAAAACTTGGTACAACATCATCGATGATATATTCACCAACACAACATCATACGTTACGTGATACGTTTAACAATGTTTCTGTTATTCTTGTTACTGGTCCTAATATGGGTGGAAAATCAACTTTGATGAGACAAGCTGCTTTATTAGTTATACTAGCACATTTAGTGAGTTGTATTGTGACTAGTTCTTTTGTGCATATATGTTATATCATTTAAATTATGTGCCGCAAAATGACACCGTAATAATCAGGTTGTAAAAAGCCTAGCATTTTTACATTTCACTTAGAATTTATTGTAATGGTGGATTAATTTTCGGTAAGGTGTTTGTATAAATGTTGTTAAATTTTTTGAATTTCGTTTCATATAATTCTGTTTTGATATCTGTATTGGTGGGTAATGTTCATAACCATTAGGTAAAATAAGTGTAACAGAAAAACAAATACTTAAACATGTATATGGTAAATGGGTTAGATAACTTTATATAATTTAAACCATGCTCATTTTTGATGATTTGTGTGTCGGTAAGTTACGTCAAACTACATGTTAATTACTGCTGTGAATAGACTTGTGTGGATCTCTTTGTTAATATAACTAAAGCTAAATATATTTTCATGTTTGTTTGCTAATTCATATCAACGCTATAGTATTCACTTTGTAAAATGTATGAATATTTCACATATTTTAAGCGTTCTGTACAATGCTTTTATTCAGGCTTTGGGTACGTTTCGCCACTTAGCTCAGAAACAGACAAATTTGTGTGGTAGCGTTTACTTTTTATGTGTCTTCTTGAATTTAAGTTTTAATATGTTTTAATACATTCATCTTGAAACCATATTTTTTAAAATCTTTTCCACTATTTTTTGGTATCTCTTTTATTTCGATCCTTTACCATTCGCTGTTGATTTCATCTGTGTTTTACTAGGCTATTTGCTCCTCAATTTGTATTTCAGTAGATTTTATTTTATCGAAATACTATATACTTGTACCAATACTGTAGGCAACGTTTATCAGACAGCTCAAGAAATATAGATCAGTGCAACGAAAATTGTAATCGTTTAATTGCATTAAAAATAGTTTCAGTAGCGGCAGTAGATTACTTTTCGAAATTTCCTCTGATCCACATCTGTTCCAGGTCTAGAACTGTTAAGTGTTTGCTTGTCCTATGTATTATATTCTTAAATACCAGGTGAAAGATCTTATATTAATTTCAAATATCTATTAAAACATGACCGATTTGTGGCCTTATATATTATGTTTTTGGTTTCACCAAACTCCTCTTGGATTGTTTGCTTTTTACTGATGATGATAAATATCCCATTTTTAAATATTATTTTTATATCACCCCACTTTTCTCTCCATAAATTTCCGTGAGGAATAATCAGAATGGGATAAATACATATTCGCACATTATAATTTGCATGTCCCATATTTTCTTTGTAGATGTTGACAAGATTCTGATCTAAATTATTCTTTTTAATTGTTTCAAACACCTTATTAGGGTTGTCGCATTCCGGCCAAGTCATGCAAACTGACTCCTGTGGATCGGATATTTTCACGCCTTGGTGCAAGTGACAGAATGCTTTCAGGTGAAAGTACGTTTTTGGTGGAGTTATCAGAGACAGCATCTATTTTACATCATATCACTCCTCATAGTCTTGTTTTGATGGATGAATTAGGTCGTGGAACTTCCACTCACGACGGATCAGCCCTAGCAGGTGCAGTTGTCTCTTACTTAGCTAAACCAAATGGGAGATTTTTCAATGGCTCTGGCCCTAGGACTCTGTTTTCAACGCACTATCACAGCTTGGTAGATCAAGTTGCTAACACAGACCCATCTACTTCCGATGAAGATATGAACCATCTATGCATTGGCCTGGGTCACATGGTAAGCATGTTAATGTGATTGATTATAAATATTCATATATGCACGTAACATCTTTTTGGTTTATTGTAGCAACATTTCAGCTGTTTCTACGCACTGTGATTTATCCTTGAACTTCAAAAATATCTAATTCCTATTTAGTTATTTAGGTGTTTTACTGATGTCAATGTCGACCACCTTTGACACATGTATTAGTTGCTTAAGAATGAATTTTACATTACTGCAAGATATCCGGAATAAAATAAGGCACCAGTTCACAAAGCCACTGACTATTTACCTGAACTACGTGAGATAGCAGTGTGGAGTATTAGTAAGGTTCTCGTGGGTCTCGAAATCTATTACATAACGAGAGATAAATCTATTCGCTACCATTCTCTAGATCTGGAATACCTTATGCTTTTAATTAGTTGTTCTATGTCCTGCGGCATTCTCGTTCCAGTGCAATTTTGTTTATTATGTCCTATTGTTCGGTAGATCATACTGGAATAATCGAATCCGTCCAGATATACTCCCCTTTTTTACTTCATTTTAATTTGTTGTGCTGGAAATTTTTTACTTGTTCAAATTACATTCGCAAGTTAGGATTTCTTTCAAGAAATTTCCTATTTGCATTATAAATGCTTAAGATTGAAAAAGTCTTGGAAGTGAGTGTATTTTCCCGAGCATTATGTACTCAAAATGTTTCTTATTAAATCATCATCATGAGAATTTCATGTATCTAATAATTGTTTGTTTATTTTCTACTTGTATACGTAAATAAAAAAGTCTTGTATGGTTGAAGCAGAATCAGAGTCAACGAATGATTTAGAAAATATCACATTTTTGTATAAATTTATTCCTGGTGCATGTCCAAAAAGTTATGGCTTCAATGCAGCTCGTTTAGCTATGCTACCTGATAAGGTTAGAGTTTCATGAATAAATTATGTATTGTTTTAACAATAATTTTTTATATGTGCATAAACTGTTCGTTTCTTTGAGACCAGACATTTTTTCACGGGATTTCACATAGTAATCTTAATCCATGTACCGTTATGTGTAATTGATAAAATCTTTAGTATAGTTTATCCTTTAATTCAGACCTTATTATCCAAAGATTGCATTACAATCTAATAGCAAATATGACATCTAAATAACCATCTAGTTAAACACTACGTTTCATGAGAAATATTAATAATGATATTTGTAGTTTACCTCAAAAGTTCACTGTGTGCATATCTGTACTCACTTGAATGGCGATTAAATTATCTTAAATACTCTTACTTTTTAAATCGCCTACTGAATAATTCACCTTACATCATTTTTATTATGATGCAGTCAGTCTCGATATATACCAGAACGTCCTAAACATGTGGATATTTTTACTTCAGTTGAAGTATGTTTATACGTGAAGTCACTTATTTAATGAGGAAAAGTTAGGTAAATAATCCAAAAGCAGAATTTTAACGTTGATTTTTTAAAGTTGTTCATGCTGTTGATCTCGCTAGATTTTTTTTACCTGTTATTTCGATCCCAAATTTAGTTCTGAACTTTGTTATTCTTCACAAAAATTTATGCATTCAGTGTAACCAGATGTTTAGGTCGTAAAATTACAGAAACAATATAAAAACATCATAAGATGTATCACTCAAGTTTCCTCTGTAAAACGACATGCTCACCAATAGATTTTCTAGCCTCACATTGTTATTAAATTATTAAATGTTTGTTTGTCACAGCGACTTTATCTTTCCACCTTAGGTTATCCGACTTGGTTTAACCAAAGCGAAGGAGTTCGAAAAAACCACTGCAACATTTGCATGTCTGAGGTAAGAATTGTATGTTTGCTTTTTATTTATCAAAAGAAAAACTCTCAAACCATGTAACGAGAAGTCTTCTTAAATTCTTATCACAAAATTATCAGTTCTTCCCTCTATTAGTCTGACATCATAGATGACATTTGTTATTAATCATAGGTATATGAATGGATTTATGAGATATTCCAGGATAATCAATGACAAACCGAATTCAATAGAAATATACACATTGTCTTATTTTTCATAACAAGAAGACCTTAACAATGTTAAATTGCATCGAATACGACTACCTTCTCGGTATCGAAAACAATAATATTGTGTTATTAGCTTAGAAATTAAAAACTAAACGCGAAATAATCAATTGTTTATGTTACATAGCTAAATTTCAATCAAAATAACGGTTCAATACACCTACGGCATTGTTAATTGACGCATTTTGTTCATTCTCTGGTTACTGGCACCTTCCACATTCAGTCATTTTCTTCATACTTTCGCACTCATATTAAGCGTCGTAGTAATTGCGGTGTAAGCAAATACAGCAAGTATATAACACATTACACTCATTACTATGAATATCGCTTACTCACTAGTTCTATTGCACCCAAACAGTTACAGGTTAGTAGCACTGACAGCTCTGACATAGAATCGACTCTGATAGCAGCCATTTAAAATAAGACTCATTGGTCTGTCCATTTGATGATATGGTTTAACATTTAAAAAACGGGAATAAGTTGGCACATTGCTGGTTACTGATTTGCAAACAATCACCGGACAATTACCATAGGAGACTTATCAAACTTGTTTTTTTATAACGTCACTATATTAACTGGTGGATATCTTGATAATTCCCACTAACTGCAGTTTCTTCCTGCGACACGCGCATATCTTCGTACAATCTGTCACACTTCACATCTGCACGGCGATTGAGATAACCTACTTGTGTCCATCGTTAGGTTTGTGTAGGCGGTCCTCAAACCGCAGTCTTTTTACGTTTTCATAGAGAATTCTTTTGTCAGGTATAAATGAACCAAAGTTAGGGAATAATTTTCAGTAAACTTCTAATTACAGCTGGATACTGATAACTGACTTTAGTCATTCACTCGCAACAGATATCTTGGTTGTCAAACTTAATTAACCGTAAAAAATCATTAAGCTATTGGAAATTTGTAATAACGTAATAATCTTTCAACCTCTATGCATATTTTGATTGATTAGTTTTAAAACATCCCTCTTTTTCATTTCAGGACATTATTGCAAGGGCAGGTTACACTGGAGGACCTAAGACAATGGAATTCTAAATTAAAAACATTTTTATAACATAAAAACAATACCTTGAAAATCATATTCATTCAACTTTTAAATGACACGTCTTAGATTTTATTACCAATACATATCTACTTCCCACTTTCCCTCATTAAATAATCCATATTTTTATAAGAAAACTGGGTTTCTTACACACCTAGTGGTTTGAATGCAAATATGGTGGGAGAAAAGAATGATCTGTGTAGACATTTTAATGGATTATGATTTAGAGGAAATTCCTATGTTATAATAGGTATCAATAGTTTATTTTTAAAAACCGTATACAGAACTTTTGGCTACTGCAAATTATTATGAGACCACCTCAGCATATCTCTACGTGTTTTGAATTTGAAAAATTGGTTTCTGTATAAACAGACAATGATTGTTGAACCATGCTATCATGTCAGTTGTATCACGTTGTTACATTTCAGACGACCTACTAGATACAGTGTGATTCACTAATACTTAACCAACAGTAAAACAGAAATTTGCAATCATCTTCGTTTTATGCATTTTGTATGCATATAAAAATCTGATGATACATATCAACTATTAGTAACTCCATTGTTCTATTCAACAAAAACTAGGAAAAAAACAACTTTTGAGCACATCGAGGAAAAACTTCGTTTTGTCAAATCTAATTTACCCTTGCATCCGGTTTGAGAGTGAAATGATTATCCACCACAGATCAGTATCCAGTAGAAACTTTGAACAGATCATTCACTAAATCTTTTTTCGTGTATGCTGTTGCGAAATGTAGCAACCACGAGACAATTTTTCGTTTCTTTGCCTACTATCAATTTTTCTGTGTATCTGGTACTTTTCAATTAGTGCGAACATTAGATTTAGTATATTTCGAAGGGGGGGAAGTTTCTAATAGGTTTTTTGATGATGATAGTAATAATGATACTACCAATAATTGCTTACCCAGATAAACACATTATACCGTAATGATCCTCAAGTAAACATGCACACCTCTTGGGAATGTTGCAGACATTCGCTTCCATCTACACCAATACGCTTTGTTGTCCCAACAAATTTAAATAATCTGATCTCCCTTGGGCGATCTTTACGATGCTAAAACTAGCGATAACATTAAAATTCATGATGCAAGGTTTTCCCATGTTTGGATCAGTCTTTAGTTCTTTAATTCTGGTTTTTTATATCGAAACTAATTGTACATGTATGCGCATTCACACTAACATTAAATATAAAAGATTCGGGTGAATACAAATGAATTTTACAACACTATGCAATACTTTCTGAAAACTATTCTCCACCGTTGCTAAAACAGATTTTATTAGTCATGCGAATTTCAATTTACAATCTATGTAGTTGTTCAATTGCATCAGACGATGAAAACTATTTATATTGATCGGAATTACCGTTCTGCATAATTATCTACCTACATAGAGAGATTACTTAATCTTCTATGGAAGTCAACATTCAATCTTTGAGCGAAAATCCGATTAATTAATTGACCACGTACAGATCCATGTGCTTGGCTTTGTTTCAAAGTGTGAGGGGTAGGAATACTGCCCGGTTGTCCAAACCTTAGTGGAGCGAGGTTGGAGTCTATGATGTAAAGTTGAAATTGAAACACTTTAACCACTGAAATATTGCTCCACGTCTACAATGCTCAACCTGTGATGGGTCACAAGGAAGACAATACACCTCCAGTGAAAAAAATTTAAAGTTAGTGACCCATTTTATTTAAGAAATAGCATGTAATATTCGGAAACATAAAGTTCATTAGCGTGGACACATGATAGATCGACCACCATCAACCATTAGCAAATTACCAGTAGTGAAGGAAGAAGCAGAACTCGAAAGGAAAGCTATTGCTTGAGCCACTTCTTCCACAGTTCCGGTTCGTCCGAGAGCATGTGTTTCGTTGGCTTTTGAAAGAAACTTTTCATAGTCATTTTCAGACATTCCAGATCGACGATGCAGTTCAGTGACAATAACTGCTGGGCTGTAGAATTTAAGAGGGTCAATGAACATTTACTGAACTTAAATATGCAAGTGATTATCGAAGAGAACAAATAACGAGTAATCACAAACACTAATTATATGTAACAAGTGAACCATGGTGAATAAAACAGTGTAATCGACGATTTCGGGCCAACATAATTTCGTGACGAATATCAATAACTACGTGTTTTGATTAATCGTTTACGGGAATCAGATGCGTCGTTTATTAACATTGAAGGTGAAATAAAGGTTGATGAACTTCCATAAACTTCCAATCAGCAAAACCGTCCATTATAAAATTTTGACGGGTTTTCTGATTGATAAAGGCCTTTTCATACGTAATCTTTCTAAGAACAAAGTCACTGATATTGCTATTAATCATTCATCATAACAATTACACATAGCTGTTTGCAGTATAAGAAAACAAACTGAAATAATTGATTGTAACAAACTGATTTACTTGGTCGTTTATAACACTTATCAGTAAACTAACATTTGCTTTACATGCAACTATCAACTGACTCACATAGCTTGTACAAAATAAACAGTGTATTTCAGCATGAAATGTGAACCATTCATAACGCCTACACTAAAATGTGTTCGATTTCGGAATAGTAGTAAAAATATTGGTCCTAGTGGAATCGAATCACATCACTGTTCGGATGAAAGAAGTGTCTACAACAGCGCATTAATTAAAAAAGAACTGTATATTGGAAAAAGATGATCTTGTTACTAATGATAAAAGAAACACCGGAACGAAATGCATCATGATTTGATAAAGTTAATCTTTTTGATGAATAAAAACACAACAGTCTCATGAAACGTTTCAATCACAAAAAATATGTGTTGTGATTCGTCAAGCATGCTTATGTACTTGCATGAAGTTAATCTACACGAACAATCTCAAATCAAGGTGGTGACAGTTCATTATTTTATCGCTCCGAACAGGCCACTTTTAGTTGAGGTTAGAGATGGATCAGTTAGGCTTTTTCCTTTCGTTGAACGCTTCTCACATATATTACGGCTCAAAAAGTGTATATTGGTCCTCGAATTCTGAGGGCCGTGTTTTGGAATATGTAATTATGACAGTGACTGCACGGTATCAAGAGTGGATAGAAGAAACAAACCACATGCGGTCTTCATAATCACACTGCGATAGTGAGAATGCTTTTATTTACAGATGGCACAAGCAATAACAGTTCCTAAGGTGCTTTAATAAAGATTCTTAGAGTAGGTAACCTTCAAAAAATCACCCGTTACATGTAGTACAGCCAAAACATAAATCATGACTTTTAGAAGTTTGATTTTTTCATCTTATTTTGTTTGTCCCCTCTGTTGATTTCAAAAATTTAGTCACAAAGTAGCAAGAATGACACCGCTTACTTGACACTATTTACTCGGATTCCTTTTGGAGCTAAATCTAAAGAAAGCAAAGAAAATAATATATATTAGCTAAGTGAAATACTATTAAAATGTCGCGCTTCAAATTCTTCCTTCTTTATACAAAATGGAGTGAAGCTAAAATGTTTAAGTACACAATGTCTGGTTAATAAGATACTCATAAGTATTCGAATGACAGTATCTGGATTTAAATTCAAGCTAATTTTATTGCATTTCAGTAACTTAGCAATGAATTTGATATTTAATTCAGTAGTTTTATAGTTTACATGAACGTCAGTGCAACCTCAAACAAATAAGGTACTAAACTACATAAATTAAAACACATCGAGAAAGCCAAAAAACTAATAAATGGTCATGCGCAAAACTGTGAGTGCAATTTATAAATACAATCTAAGACCGAAAATGCTTAGTTGAAAGTATTACGCAAACTGTAAATATATGTATTTTTAGAATCTCAACCTGACGTATTGTATTGTTAGAAAGGAACTAGAATTAAAACAAACTGATGAAGAACATACCATGTAATGAAATGTGCATTTTATACAGCGATAGACAAACAACCAATCAATGTTACACTCATAGTAAAACAGACAGTTTTCACTATTCAACGCTGTTTATATCTATTCAAAGGTCTGTTTTATTTTATCAGAAATTTTGCACAAAAGTTAGCTTTACTTACCTAATGCAGTACATTTAGTGAATTGGTCCAACGCTGCTTTGCTAATGCAATAAGACATTACTCCAGGAAACTGTAAGCAAAAGAAACAGAAATGCAAATTTAATTTTAAATATTGTCATAAAACATAATTTGATGCCCTCAAACCACACTTCAATAAAATCTCCATGTAATTTTTGAACACTAGAAAAAGTCATAACGATAACATCTGCCTTGTGAAGTACATAACTTGATGGCAATAAATTAATTTTTAATAATTATGGGTAATTTTATTTGAATAAAACTGTAATTTACTAACTAATAAAGTAGTTTTTAATTAGTTGGTGATAACACTAAAATATTATTATCAGAATGTGTTTTGTGGAGATTTTTAGAAATTTTCACAGATTGAACTCATGAGTCAGTTGAAGCTAGACCACCATTGAAAACCTGGAAGCACTGGACGGCCGTTTCGTCCTAGTATGGGACTCCTCAGCAGTGCGCATCCACGACCCCGCACCACCCGGGGCTCGAACCCAGGACCTACTGGCTTCGCGCGCAAGCACTGTAAAGCGGTATGTGTCATTTAATTAAACCTCAAAATCCAATGTTTGAAAAATAAGAAAGGAAAAGTATAAGACCTAGGTAGTCGCTCTTCACTAAACGAGTCGACGTGTTTTTTAGAGGTATTAGTTTAACTTTTTGGGATTATCACACATTTCTAATTGTAAGCCCACTCTTCACTCACCAGTTATCGTTATGGCTTTAACCATTCAGATCAAGTCATTTTATAATAATACCGTGATTTAGTTTTATATCAGAAGTCTTACTGAAATCCGCAAACTGTCTAACTGTAGTTTTGCATTTCACTTGTACATGTAGTAGATCAAAATCGTAAAAAAATTCGTAACTACTTCTTTCGTCTTCTAGTATTTCGATTGGTAATAAAGGAATTCACGTGATGTATTAATTATATACAGGTGTAATATTTATCTAATAGGATTAATGGGATGTAAGTTACGTACACCCAACCACTACCTACTTGAATGTGCAATTTTAACTATAACAGAAATGGGTTGAATAAAAATTAGGGATGATCAAACCCATACAAGTCATCAATCTATATGATTGGAATATGACTTGTTGTTAGATGACGGGTACCTAGTATGGATTCACGGGATAACCTGGATCGGTGGTCAGAGACGTCAGATAACATAAGTCAGAATCGATTACATTGTTTATATCATTTCACTATGTTGATGCGGTAATAACAAATAACTTTGGCTGATCCATATTTTTGCGAGGCTTCATGTTGATTACCTGTGATTGACTGTTATAGTAATGAAATGAATAGATTATTACATCCAATAACAAACAAAAGATCATAAACTAGACAACATCAAAGTAACTATTTTGAACTCACTGAACGTTTTCCACAGACACTAGATACATTGACGATGGAACCTTTGGAAGCAGCAAGATCTGGGATAGCCAAATTAGTTAAGGTAATCGCAGCAGTTACATTCACTTTCATAATGTGTTCATATTCAGTAGCATTAAAGCTTTCGACAGTATCTCTTATCATATATCCTGCGTTATTTACCTGAAATATTTGTTTAAAAATGTTATCTTGTAACAGAATCGCAAACAGATAAAGGTCGCTAGGAATTAACCTGATAACAAACAAGAAAATTTCAAGGTTTTTTGCTGAGGATTTACATCACCTTAATAATAACTTTAATAATTTTATCGCTATTTAAGCAGTATACGTAATCAGGACTTACCAATTTCACTGTAGAAACTGATCATACTAAGGAATGAACGTTAAGTGCCAAGATCTTATGTAACAGGTATTTGTTTAGTTGTGTTGATAATTATCAAAATCGACACCAGGACCACCTTGTCAAACAAGTAACCGGAATACTTGATAGTTTGCATAAAGGTCTTCACTTGGTTTTACGTAATCAAACGGTGGTACTGTCAAATCTCTATTGTTGCTTTCATTACGGGTCAAAGAGATTTATTGAATTTACATTTCCTGTTTATAATTACTTTCCTGCCGTGTTTCAAGTTCATGATGCGTTAGAACGCTGGTACTACATCTTGCAGTGTCAAGCACGTATCCAGTTCCACAGGTGATAGAATTCGAGTAGACTTCAGAACCATGTGGCTGAAGTCTACAAGTCAGCAGGCATGCTTATCGGCATCCGACAATGATAGTTTTTCTTGACTTAAAAGCAGCATTTGACTGTAGACCAAGAGGTCTTGTGTCAGTGTCTGTCATTGAAGTGTGCCTCAGAAGTAAATAAACCTTATAAAGGCTCTTTATTTGAATACTACCAGTCAAGTTAGAGCTTATGGCGAACTATCATTTGCTTTTGCAACCTCAAGTGGTGTCCGTCAAGGCTGTCCACTTTCTCCATTTTTGTTCAACTTCATCATAGACCTGCTACTGGAAATAGCGCTCTCGTCGCCTGAATTTCCGGGCAGTGGTATCCTACCAGGGGGTCCACTTATTAACATAGAATACGCAGATGATATAGTCCTGTTTAGTGAAGACGCTGATAAAATGCAGAGTATTTTGGTAGCACTGAGCAACAATGCCAGAATGTTTGGAATGCATTTCTCCCACTATAAGTGCAAATCGTTGCTTCAGGAATGGCCTGCTTCAGTCAACACCTGAACTAAGGATAGGAAGTGAAGTAGTCGAACGCCTAGACAACTCCACTTATCTTGGGAATCTGATGAGCCCTAATGGGTTGGTGTCTGACGAAATCTGCACGATTCAAAAAGCTTGTTTGGCTTTCTCCAACTTGCATCACCCATGGCGAAAGCGAGACGCATGGTATTAATTAAGCAGTGATGATAAGTCAGTTGATGAGGTTGTGGATTTCCATCGACTGAGATGGTTAGGCCACGTACTACGAATGCCTGAACACCGATTACCACGACTCGCAATGCTGACTAGTGTCGGAGACGGATGGTAGAAAGTTGGGGGCGGCCAAACCAAAACGTGACGTCAGTGCTTGAAGTCACTAACTTCTGGTCTGAGTCATGTTGTTTGACGCAGACTACTTGGTTGGGGTCTGTATGACTAGCGTAACCGGTGGTTGGAGACTATGGGTTACATGGTTCAAAATCAATCACAATGGTGTACGTTTACACACCCTTTGTTTTTTACTAACTGATTATTTCTTCCTGTACTATATCCCTATACATGCTTCTTTTATATATTACTACTATTGAATTAACTACTTCTGCGAATTTAGTGTTCATCATGTTGTGCTAACGAGGTGTGACAACTTGGAACGATGCATATATGTGCCTAGTCCTACGTTGTAGCTGACTGAAATACGTGAAATATGGTAAATCAGTCTTGGGACTGAAATATAGTTCCGACATACGTAATTCATATCATGGATATGGTAGTTTTGGAAACTCAAAAACAATCGTTTTACAACATCCTCGTTAACTAAATCACTCATGAAATCATTTATTTTTAATTATAACACTCTATGATTGACTTACAGCCTTCAATTTACCCAGTGAGAGTTAAAGAAATGAGAAGATAATGGGATGAAATAGTTGACTTACAATGTAACGGACTGACATTTGACATTTTCTGGACAATTAATGATTGTAATTCTTAAAATTGTTTATTCTAATATACGATGGAGTGATTTGGCAAAAACTATTGGTTAGTGAACATCCCGTTGGAACTTCTTATTTACCAACTCAAAGTGTGGTAGTACAAACTGGAATCCATTTTGTTTGGAGTCGATAGTTTTAGTAAATACAGTTTCAAATAAATAATTAAGATAATGATAAAATTATGGAAGATGAAGATCAGGAAATTATGGTCATCTTATATATATTTCTAGAGACTAATTTCCCGCTTTAGAAGTTCTTACAATCTAAATACTGGTAAATACAATGAATAGAATAACATACCATTGGCAGGTAATGAATTATGTCAGAGCTCCTCTATTCTGCAGTAACAGCCTATTAATTGTTCATCCACATCTGATTATTCTTATGGCTATATTTCACAAACGTTTAAGACCGAATAAATAAATGTGAATAAATAAACGTCCGTCAATTAAGTAGTTAATACAAATAAAATGACTATTTACCCACGTAAATATGACATGAGAAATCAGTGGCAGATTAAAGAGTTAAATTACCAATATATCAAGTTGGTGAAAGTGATTTATTGCCAATCGATATGCTTTCTCAACTTCACATGGTTCAGCCAAATCAGCCTCAATGCACAAAAAAGGCTCTTTGTGTTTTTCATAAACGTCAGGGTGAGATATTTGGATGCATGCTTGTCGAGTTTCTTCCAATCGTGACTTATCCCGAGCAACCAAAGCAACACACGCTCCCAGTTTTGCAAACAAAATGGCTGTCGCTCTTCCGATTCCTGAACTTGCTCCTAAGGGAAAGAAAGTAAGACTAATTTTAGCTCATATATTTGTAATTTTCTGAACAGATTTGTATGGGTGATGAGTACGTACACACCTATAAATAACCGAAATTTTCTAAGAATTACGATGAAAACCCATCATTCACGTACTAAGACTAGCAGCAAAACTTGGCAGTGTTTAGGTCGTGTTCAATATCTAACGTCATCAAGTTCGTATGTGATTACGTCAGACTGCGTCAAACGCATTAACTATGTACAATTTTATGGAATAGCTTAGTGCATAACACCCAGATATCATAGTCTGCAAACCATACTAACCTTTCGATGTAGTTTTACCACTGTAAACTGACGTATCCAAACTAACTACCCCGTTCTCAGAACACGAAGTGCTGTACTATAGCTTTCATGATGGAAAGGTGGTGCCTCAAGATTCATTTATGCACTACACTAACAAGTTTATTGACAAACCAAATATTGCAACGAATACATATTGAGGGGAGTTTCACACAACCTTTTTGTAATCCTTGAATTCCATCCCGAAAGAGCAGAGGCGGGAAGCTACAAAAGTCCAAGTAAAACATGGGATAAATACTAACATTAAATGAAATACCATTCTAGGAATGCATACCACCATATTCTACAGAAGACACTGACAGCCGTCCGGAGCTGTGCAGTAGTATGTTCACTTGACTTGAATGTTGTGCCGAAAACCCTCACATTTTCACACTTACAGGGTTGAGATTGCCAAGGACCTTAGTGAGTCCAAACAAAAGATGAGCATGGAGGCCGGTAGGTGTTTTGTTACTACAGATAATATGGTACAACACAGAAAGATGGGGGAATCAGAATGTCATAAATAGCAACAAGTCTTATCATAACATAAAGTTTCGTAATACTGTAACAAGTGCTTAGCCCATTATTTTTAAGGAAAGCATTTCGCTAGCAGATGCAGCATTAAAATACCACAGTTACCTGTTATTATAGCCACCTTTCTTGACAGGGATATCATATCCATTCCTGTACAAAACATAATGAAGAGCAGACACTGAAAAATTTAGTCCACTTCATGAGTCCCAATTGTAATAAAAAGATAAAACTGGTTTTAGATACTTGATGTATTTGTAAAGTATAAATCGAATAATCATCTGGTCATAAACTTTTCAGTCAATCAAATAGACGGCTGAAATAACTGAACAAATAGACTAGAAAGAATTTTGAAGACAACTATACTGATAAAAACTAAAGTTTTTACACCATAAATGCAAGTCTCTTCACTAAAAGTTAAATTATTATAAGAAAGTAAACACAGGATTTTAAACTCAGATAAATGCATACAAGTATGCAAGACCAAACTCTGTACATACAGGCTGAATGTTATCAAAGCTGTAATAAAGACAAGCTTGTAGATTCTGGAGTCAGCCACTTGACATCCTCCTTATGGAATAATAGTCGCTTGCATTCGCACAAATTCTGTCCCATTAAATATGTTTGACGACAGCGATGTAACCACACAAATTCCGTGGCATTGTGTGAGAGTACTTCGGTCGGATAGCTGTTTATCCACTCACAGCTATTTGGGCCAAAACACAAAAGTCGTCTAGACTGTGATAGTGTTAACTACCTTACTCACTTGCAAGAACATTCGTCTTCGATATCTTTGCACTTAGCTCGCAGTCTAGGTGAAAGGCCCCTAGATGTTGCTTCAATTGTTTCTTCTTCAATTGGTATTGGGCTTGAGACAGTTTTTTCAACAGAATCCAAATCCCTTTTACTATGCTTATGTTTAATTAATTCCATAGGGTCACGTTCATCTTTTTCTTCCTCATCGTACTCCTCGTCTGGCAGGGTTTTCAAATTGTCAACTAACGTTAAACTTACATACTTTGATAACCCCTACTCCGAGTAATAACAATACAAGCAACCTATCTCTCATTTCATTATTGAAATCAAAACCCAGCTGATGAAAGATGGCCTTGTGCAGTAGGGTAAAACGGCGTGTCAATTTATTAAAAAATATTTTCATACGAATTCGTGTAGAGTGTGTTATTTTTCATCTTGCTTCTTGATGTTGAGGAATTCGCCTTAATCCTCGACAAAAGTCCATCTAGGTGAAGTCGCTTATTCGCATGAGCTTTAGTAGCTCAGTTTTCTGTACTGACTTGTGTGTAGCGGTAAATAAATCCCCAAAATAAATAGCACTAAGTTTTCGACATTGGATGCTGACCATATGTTTTAGTGGACTCATCTAGCTGAAGGCGCTCGGTCAGGCATCCGCACCAGATCACGTGTGGTAACGCCGTGCTCAACATCAACCGCAATCGCTAGCCAGACTAGATCAGAGAATTCCGATATATTGGTCAACGCCAAATATACTCTTCCGATCTCCTCAACTCTGTCTTTTGATTTCTCTGGGTGGGAATGAAATACATTAGAAGGTGTTACTGGTAGAAGCGTTGTCAAACACTGAATACCTGTGACATCATCATTGATGAGACCGTCGTGATCTGGTACACCTAATTGCAACTGTGAGTCTGTTCCTTTTTGGGATTTTTATATATCATTGCCTTATTTTTTATTTTTTTTAAACATTGTGATTTTTTTTTCGTGCTTTTTCTTGGATATATATATTTCCCCCTCGTTCATTATCATACTTAATATTTCATCATGACTGAACAGACACCTAAAGTACTCAAGCTTAAGACTTTGTCCCCACCTTCGTTTCAACTGATGCCTTTCTGGCCCGACAACATTGAAGCCTGGTTTTGCTACGCAGAAGCCGACTTCTCCGAGCACGGCGTGATCGACACACGTGCACAATTCCTCGCAGTAGTCAAGGCACTACCGCGCGAATTCAACAGGTACGTAACACCTAGTATGTTTACTAGTGATGTTTCCGATCCTTACGAAATCTTAAAACGCTCGATTCTAAAACAAGGAGACCTAACCGATCGACAAAGGTTAGATCAACTCTTCAACAATATCGACCTGCAACACGGTTCTGCGACGGACATGTTGCAACGGATGAGAGAGGTTATAGGCCCAAGAACTTTCGACAGAGGTCTATTCAAACAACTCTTCTTGTCAAAACTTCCCCAACAGGTGCAAGCAGTTCTGGTCTCGTTCCAGAACAACGCCCTAGACGAGCTAGCTGCATCTGCCGACCGCATTCTAGAAATTACGAAACCTACTACCGAGAGACAGATAACCCCGACTGGTGCTGGTATCATAACCAGTATGGAAAGTTTTCCAGAAATTGCAGAAAACCCTGCAGTTTTCCCAACACGAAACCGACTGATTCGAAAAACAATTCGGGAAACTTCCAAGCCGGCACGCGTTAACGGCAACCGTAGCCGGCGAACATAGCCGTCTGTTATACGTCACAGATGTGACAACGAGAGTTCGCTACCTCGTCGACACTGGCGCAGAAGTTAGCGTTCTCCCATCGAATCCCAACGATCGGCTTCAAGAATCGGCTCTAAATTTACAGGCGGCAAACGGAAAACCGATCGCTACGTATGGCAAAAGGTACGTTTACCTTAACGTGGGTTTACGCAAACCCATCCACTGGATTTTCGTTGTTGCAGATGTTTCTATGCCAATCATTGGTATGGACCTTCTACAACACCACAATCTGATCATCGACACTCGCAAACGGAGGCTAATAGACGGAAACACTAATTTGTCCGTTTGCGTAACTTCTTTTACTGGTTGCAGAGTATCCCCAGTCACAGTTAAACATATGATAGACCCACTCCATCAACCACTACTAGATAAGTACCCTGGGATACAACAAACTCAACCGAAACTACCGTGTGTAACCAGCAATGTTACACATCACATCACGACTACAGGACCACCTGTATTCTCTAAAGCACGACGACTAGCTCCTGAAAAGCTAAGGTTAGCGAAAAACGAGTTCGACCATATGATAGACTTAGGAATCATACGACCGTCAAGTAGCCCATATGCATCTCCGTTGCACATGGTCCCTAAGAAGGACAGTAACGATTGGCGTCCAACTGGCGACTATCGGCGATTGAATGCAAAAACCATTCCCGATCGTTACCCGTTGCCTCACATTCACGATTTGACAGCTACCTTGAAAGGTACAACTGTCTTTTCGAAAATCGACTTGGTTAAAGCGTATAACCAAATCCCTATGGCTACTGGCGACATACCGAAAACAGCTATCATAACTCCCTTCGGACTCTATGAATTTTTGCGAATGCCTTTCGGTCTAAGAAATGCTGCTCAAACATTCCAAAGATTCATAGACGACGTTTTTCGAGGTCTCAACTTCGTACACGCGTATGTTGATGACTGTCTAATCGCAAGTCCGGACAGAGAAACACATCACAAGCATCTGGGTCTTGTTTTCGAACGACTACAAAAACATGGCATTACTGTAAACGTTCAGAAATGCCAAATTGGGACCGACTAATTAGACTTTCTGGGACACACTATCGATGCTCAAGGTATCCGACCCCTTAGAACCAAAGTGGCGGCCATTCTGGATTACCCAGAACCGACCACCGTCAAGCAGTTACGCACGTTTAACGGCCTGGTAAGTTTCTGTAGACGTTTCATACCGAAATGCGCATTACTTATGAAACCTCTGACCGACCAACTTCGTGGAAATGCAAAATCCATTAATTTGGACGACACCGCACGAAAAGCATTCTCCACAGTTAAGGAACTGATCCCTAAGGCAACAATGCTCGCACATCAGGACACCGAAGCTCCCATTAGTATCGCAGTAGACGCATCTGACTCGGCAATCGGAGGCGTCTTACGACAATGGGTTAACAACTCCTGGCAACCCTTGGCATTTTTCTCTAGAAGGTTGCTTGACACCGAATAGAGGTACAGCACATTCGGTAGGGAACTCCTAGCTATGTACTGTGCTGTACGGCATTTCCAACACTATATTGAAGGCCGTGAATTTGTAGTGGCATTGAACAATAACCGCACAATCCACAAAGCTGAACACGAGACTACTCAGAAAATAGATATTCAATATTTAACGCGGATAAATACCTAACGATGGAGAAGGCGCGAAGAATGAATTGAATGGACTGGAGTTGATCGAGTGGCATGACTCGGCCATGCAGGCGTGGTCTCTGCTGAATGTTACCTTATATCTTCTATTCATATTAAATATATTGTTCTTTCTCTAGCCTAACCTTGTTCTTCATCATGTATTGGTAATTGATACGATACAGTGAGTTGGTGTAGTCGATGGTGTGACTTCCACGTAAGAGCTTATAGATTAGGCAGTTATATCATGACAAATCTACAAATTTAGGATTAGGTCTATTATTAGAGCAGTACTAATATCATAGTGGACCATAATTCTACATTGGTGAGCCCAACTAAAGAAACGCAACCTATTATTATTAATCCTTATATCCACTTAAACTTTCTCGATCGATTTTATATTTATGTTAACCCTGTATTCTAATAGTCCTCTGATTAATGCTCACATGCATTATCGTAATGTTATATTGATTAGTCCTCATGACAAACTAGCTCAATCGATAATAAAATCTGGTCGTCTATATTAACTAATTAGCCTTGATGGTTTGTTAACAAGCTGTAATAGCATTTACATGCTTCAGCGACATAGACTTGTTTAAACATCAAGCTCTAGCAAATATGACCTGTAAATAGCGTAAATATACATTGACTAACAATGCGATCAAGGACTAAATAGTTATCTGGATCTAATTCTCAGTGTTCCTTCACTTAACACATCCTGTTTTAAACGATGCACTATCCTGTAATATCTTTTCTTCCGACCACTGCCTGCCTAATTTCATATTCTCGAGTTCCATTGCCAAACAACGAGGATGACTACTCCAAAAACATACGGTGAGTTTCAGCTATAAGTTTTCTGCAATCATACGGTCATTTTTAGATGGTTCGTTCAATGACAACCACACAATTATCTGGATTCTTTCGATTGTTCTGATCCGAGCGTGTGGCAAAAACCTTAACAGCATCAAGCACCCTGGAATTAATTGCCATACTGCATGTTTTATCCTGGATACTTTTGGATCATTACTACTCCTCACGAATGGCGTTATATATGTCGTCCACTGTATAATATAATTTTCAAAAATAATCCAGGCGAGTTCAACTATTTTACTTAATGATTTTTTGTACTTAACATGTATATGCTTTCCAGTTGCATTTGCCACATATTTGTAAGTGTCCCTAGGCTAAATGCAGTAACCTCTTATGGAATGTTTATAACGCGTTACATTCTTGCCTGAAGTTTCATAAGCAGTCTTGACTTTAAAATTATTTATCTGGTCATGTTCATTATTTTTAAATTTTTATATACGTCAACAACCTGCATGTTAACGTGGCCCGTACATACGTTACACTATATCTTCATATCTTTTGAATTTAGAAATCATCTGAATCGCCTTTACCATTAATCAATAAACCCACCATAGTCGTTGTTGCTAATCATATTTGGGTTTATGGATTGGTTTTATCATAGTAGCAGCCTAAAATGCAAACATACTTTAGATAATAAGATTAAAAATTTAGGTACTATCAACTGCACTAGTAAAATAACTAAATCCTCAGGTAGCTGTTGGCTAAACAAACGTTTAAAACCAAAACTCCGTAGCCTACTAGAATTAACACTAGACGAGTATTTCTGAATTGAAAATTATAATATAATTAGGCGTCTCGGATTCTGTAACACTACAAAATTTCTGATAATTTTGAATCACCTAAAGCAAAAATATCTCTTTTTCCACTGGCTAATCCTCAATCAACACTATAACTATTTTAACATAATAGTTTCAGGATATCGTCATAAAGCATTGTCATGACTTGACAATCACGTAATATGATTGATAATATTAATGAAACTATTAACATAACCGGTCATCAAATGGACTTATAATTATCACTAGTGTTGTTTTTTCTTTTATCTTCATTCACTACAGATGATTACAGTATGTTTCTCTATCAGTTGCTTATTCAGCAAATATCTCAAAACCTTGT